TGCATAAAAACTTGGGCGAATATGGTTCTTTTAAAAGACGTAGACAGCAATATGGTGATAGACCCAATTAATATGAGCAGGCAATTTTGCAAGCGGTTGAGATGAAAATCGAATTTCTACTTCTCTGACAACGCTGCAACCAGACAGATGGATCAAACTGTCAAACTTTTGTTGACAACAAAAGAACGTTTTGTTTTTCCAAAGCACTCCTCTCAAAAAATGAAAAATTGTATTTTTAGGAAAAATGTGATACTGAACCACTATGTGTGATATATCGTTGTAAAGAGAAAAAAAGACGTAATCCCAAAATGTCAAAATTCAATATGGCGCCCATAAGAAAAACTAAAGTTGCCACGTGTTTCTCCGTCATCTTGAACGTAATTAAAAACAGGATGCCATATTTGAAATCTCCATTAAAAAGTGTCCGAATAATGTGCTAATTAGAAATGTCTACTACGACTAGTTTATCATAAAAAAATTAAAAACGAAAATCAGAAATTTTCGTTTTTTTGTGATATCTTCAAAAGTATTGAAGATATTTCAAATTTCTTTTCAGATTCTTATTCAGCACGGAAATTTGCAACTTTGCCCCCATTTAACCAACTTTCTATCTCTTAAGATAAGTGAGATCCCCATAGTGGCACTCGAAAAATGGACACCGTGTATATTATATCCCCTATTATTTGTTATGTAATTGCACTGGTCACAATTAAACGATGGAAATGTTATGGTGGTACACGATGATTCTTAAAATTATCCTTGGAAAATTAGCGTTAGACAAAGATTTCTCAAATTATCCCTATTGTTGGTTGCAGAATTGCACTGGTCACATTTAAAATTCTTGAAAGTAACGTGATAAAATGTGACGTTTTAAACTATCCTTGCTCTGTAAGGTCTTGAGCGGTTCCACCCTGTATATACAACTTACGACGATTCATACATTTTTTAGAGTTGGCAACCATGCAATTTCTAGGTGGGGAAAAGCCGCCCGCGCCATCTAAAAGCAGGAATGTGGGTTACGTTTTTGCATCTTGTCTCGAATGGCGGTCGTGAACGCGTCGCTCCATAAATGTTTGTTATTTTATTTTTTTTTAATGCAGGTAGTAATTTTTGTATTTCTTTATATCGTATTTGTATTTTGTATGCCGCATATATTTTTTGTGTTTCAATCTTTGATTTTGAAATTTACTTGATTTAATCGCAATGCAGAATGATTATGTTAAATGTTAAATACCGTTATGCTATATTGTTTGTAATTGTTTACGTTTTTGGTGTAATACTTGCTTAATTTATGTTTACTGATGTTGATTACTTTGGTCTTGTCCCTGAAGTTACATTCATATGTTTTGATCATTTTAGTTTAATTTGTGGAAATAACTGATTCGTTTGATGTATGTACTGACTTGTTGTTTGTAACTAACAATTTTCACCGTGAATGAAGTAGTCACGGGGTGGAAAAAAATTGTAGTCACAATTGAGTTGCGACACCTAATTCCGTGATTGTCTTCAACATTCAACTGTAGGCTCGAAACCCCGAAACCAGGGGCGAGCTACCCATCTTGCAGGAGCGGGATTACGCTAATCAAAGCTCTTCATCAGTTAGCGTAGAACCTGGGGGTTAAATACACTAATCTTTTGATTTGCAAATGAAATTTTTGCAAAGTATACAGTCGTATACACTACAACATTGATTGTTTTGACAATTGTAAATATCCAAAACAGCGGTCGTTTCCTACCTGTATTAAATACAATGTGCTGCCACCAGAGGTCCCACTGTTAATCTGAATCGCGAATAGCTCTATGATTAAACTCTCTTTTGTAAACAGTATAAAATGTGGTAACATAGAAAATGCCATCAAAATATTCACATTCAGATGGTGGGGCGGCACGCGGGTACAGACGGCAATTCGTATTGGTTTGGTATTGTGCTTCTTCCTACACATGTTCCCTAGACCTATATTGGCGGAACTTACGTCTATTAGAATTGAAAATGGCGCCTATTTTCTCTTGGGTCTTAGCAATATACGAGAGGGGGGTCCCCTAATTAACATTTTCTCTATTTATAATATGTATATGTTATGGGCGATAATGGATTATAACACGAATACTCACTACTGGCGGTCCCACATGTACTTTTTCGTGTTAAATTAATTGAAGCCGAGGATGGGGTATAGCCACGCTCTTTTAATATTTGCCTAAATTGATCATAGGTGTGTTTTGTACTTGATTTGATTTATGTATCTTGTTTTCTACCTATATTTGTGATGTCTCTTGTTTTTAGCTTCTATTTATTTTTTTTCTGACATTACACAATATATTTTTTTAATTTAATTGCATTTGATAATTGTTTGTTATATACTCATACTATACAATATTGTGACACCTATACAATATTGTGAATTGTCCAAAAGAATTGTAAATAAATAAATAAATCCGTTTCCCTGATTTTTATCGTACAATTTCCGATGTTTTATTTGTGTATTTTTTTGTGCGTTTTGTTGCCATAGTTGATTCATTTCATGTATTTGTGTGGAGCTATGCCGGGGTTTTTGTCCCGAAGAAGGTTTCCCTGGTATCGCCTCGTTGGTAAATTGTACGTAATATATTTTACATGTTCTTGTCTTTTCTTACGCCCAAAATTCTTCGCTTCCTGATTAAGTCTCACGACCCAACACATAAAGGAACCGATTACAGAACGTAGGAGTCGATTGCTACCGAGATTCCAAAGTCTCGCGAAACATCCGTCATTTCGACTTGGCTCTGTTTGTAGTTTTCCCCCGCAGAGTTTCCAACTGTAAACAATAGGGTAAGTCACGATCGCAGTGCCCGGCTTGGGGGTTGTCGTTTTCGGGGTTGATGAAATTGACAAATGCAACATCCACAATTATTTTCCGCGTGGGGGTTCTTTTTGACCAGGATCATCCGCCGAAACCGACCATCCGATTGCGATGAAACTTTGAAGAACGTTAGGACGTATGCTCGCGAAGGTTTGCGACTTAGTAAAATTACGCGAAGTGAGGGGCCGTCGCCACCGAAACCGAGCTTATGCACCATTCCAGGCGCGAAAAATTCGAACGAGGTGAGGCGGCGCAGTCGTCGAAACCGAGCTTATGCTCCATCCGGGAGAGAGACATAGACTGATAGGCGGTACGAAGTTCGTCGGGTCTGCTTAACGTCGTTTAGTATAACAGTCGCAGGTAACCGCCCACTGCAAAACTCATGTCTCTTTCTTTGCATGAGCTAGATAGAGATGAAAATATTAATAGCATAATTTTTGTACAACTCACCGGCGACGGAAGAACCACACTAATTTATTTTTTGTTCAAAGTAAATAGTTTTGTACTTTCGTAGTGGATTTCTCCTACGTTTCAAGCCATACATCAAGTCATAGCTGTCTTCTTCTTACCAATAGAATTAAAAAAGACGATGTGTCACAACTTGGGTAACAATGAAAGCCACGTAGGGCTTATGAGGATTTTTCTTCAGGAGCTGACGCAATCAAATGAATCGCGTTGTATCGGCGCTAGGCACCACCATCTGACAGTATACATTGTGATAATCCACCCATTGTTTTATTCTTTTAAGTATTTATTTCTGTATTCACGAGGAGTTGATTATCAGTACGATGTTGCTCTGCCCGACTGATCCGTAACTATTCCGCGAGGGAAGTACCGAATACAGTTTGATGGTTCGCTGTATCTGTTACTTTCTGATTCGTGGTGCGCGGCAGTTCTTGTGCGTTACCTATACGAAGGGGGGCTCTCTCATTTGATGTTTCGGTGTGCGAGTGGTTCATTCTGTCTCCGTGAAGTAGGTACCTAATACAGTTCGATCTTTCGCTGTATCTGTTGCCTACTCGTCTCGTGCGGATTGCAGTTCTTAGCATCTTAGCAATGCGAGTAGGGGCCCTCTCATTAACATTTCCACTATTTAAAATATGTTTTGCTTGAGCGATAATCGATTTTCACATGAATACTTGCTATTGGCATTCTCACATGTACTTTTCGTGTTAAGTAAAATTATGTTAATGAAGACTGGAGTAGAGGCACACCATTTACATGTTTCCTATGTACATGCCATTTATTATTTTACGAGTTGTTTTAGCTCAATTGATCGTGCAGGTATTTTGATGTGTTTTCATACTGAATTGATTTATCATGTTTTCCACTGCATTTATGTTGTGTATTTTGTTTTTATGAACTTGTTTAATTGCATTTGATTTGATTATCTGATTTTTATCATACAATTTGAGATTTTTCTTTATGTGTATTTTCTCTTGCATTTTATTGCTGTAGGTGATTTATTTCATGTATTTGTGTGGCATATGCCGGGGTTTTTGTCCCGTAGAAGGTTTCCCTGGTATGGTCTTGTGGTGTGCGTAATATATTTATTAGTTCTTGTCATTTCTTACGCACAAAAGTTCTGTCTTTTATTTAATTCCCTTCCCGATGATGTCTCACGTCCCAACACATAAAGAACCGATCACACAACGTAGGAGTTCATTCGTGGCATCCATATCGAGCCGACTGCCATCCAAATTCCAAATTGCCGCGAAACGTCCATCGTTTCGACTTGAAAGGTAGGTGGGTTGCTTGTAGATTTATTTTGCCAGAGTTGCCAACGGTAAGTATAGGGTAAGTCAACGTTTTCAGTGTCTGCTTAAAAGACCCCTTGGAGTTTGTTGTTTCTGGTGCAGATAGTAATCTTTGCATTTCTTTATAATTTATTTGTGTATCAGAGTGAGGAGTGAAGTTGTATTGCTGAGAATAGGGGAGAATTGAGGAAGGTCTGTTGGATGGGAGAGTGTAGAGAAGAATCCCAGGTGAAGAAGAATGATATTGATTAGCGAGATTGACTGAGGTGAAGACAAATAGTTACGAGACTGGTAGACCTCGAATCTCATCTTTACGTTGGGATTTCCTGAACGAGGGTCCAGTTCTCCGTTCCAGGGTCAAGAATCTACGTCTACCAGGATGTGAGCCTAGGCATTAAAAGTACAATTATAATTTGGTAGAGTGTTAATTGCTTCGTGTAGTTGCGAGTACAGTTATTTACTGCAAGGTGTCGCTATGAGAAACTCAAAACTCGGGTAGACCGTAGAAGCTCGGAGACGGTTCCAATTAAAAGAGGAGAGGTATTTTGTACTTTCGTCCTTTGTATCATGCTGCACGTTCCCTTAAAGAGCGAGTACAAATCTGCATAAAACTGTAAGCAATCTTTAAATGGTGGTCTCGTACAGTTAACACGTACGAGCATTCCTTCGGCAGGTTCGGGCAAAAAGGCGGGGCTAACTTCGGTGCACGTAATAATCTCCGCCTTCAACGGTGTGATATGCAGCATCGAGTACGGAACTTGCTTATTCCTCTCCGGTTTGTACTCGCGCATCTGCATTATAACGCCGCGCCGTCCGACAACACTATTCCATCGCGACCAAGCGAAATTGTAACAGCAGCTCAGCTGCGCCATCTGGTAGTAGGCGTGCTTTTCCATAGGCCAATGCTTCTCGCACGACTCTGAAACGAAATCGTTGAAATACGCCGACTCGCTGATGGGCGGTCCTCTCAAACCTTTTACGTAGCAAAATGCGTCGAAGCATGGGAAAACATCTACACCTAACTCCAGTAAGATCTAGAAAAAATCAATTGGCGATTAAAAATGGTGGGGGTGATTGATACCCTCTTCAGCTTCGGCAGCTTAAAATACTTCCCCAAGTACGGCTTGAATGCCTGATTCGGTGCATTTTGCATCTGCGCTACGGTAATGTCATCGCCCAGTATATTGAAGTCGATCACCAAAATGGCGGAGGTAAGTTGCAAGGTGACAGATCCGCTGAAAAAGTGTACCGTTAAAGACCGCCAGATGGCGCGATTTCCTAACTTCAGTTCCGGTTTGAGGTCCCAAGTTTGGAACGGCAGGTTCGTGTGACGATTGAGCGCGAACGCGAAACAGCCGAACGACGTCGTACGGAACGTCACCGAGGCGCTCTCCTCGAGGTACTTAAAGTCGTGAATGTCGACGGTCGACCAGACGTTCCTGTCCCGCTGCCATTGGCACACGAAGGGCGTGTCGAGCCACATGACGTGATCGGGAAGGTCGAGCGAGACGAAGATGAGCTTGTCCATTTCGGCCTCGAGCTTCTTGTTTTCGGCCTCGAGCTCGGACGGATCGCTCCGTTGGCCGCCGGCGGTGGTGGAGCTCGGTGCGGGCGCAGGCGCGGGAGCTTTGTAGGGAACGCGAAACTTTACCTCTTTCAAGAACTTCGGTACCAGTACTGAAACGATACGGAGTTAGGCCGCTGTGAGCGCGATACTCGCATTCACATCGTGTAATGGACATTTCCATAGAGACGAGTAGTTGGGGTTGGGGGGGTTGAAAGTAGAGTTCTACGAAGAAGATTCCGCCGAGGATAATGTGCTTGCGTAGGTTAACTACGTTTGGTTCCACAGTTGTGATAAAGCTCTGGCGAAGTTCGCCGTAAAGCACATCTGCAAATTTGGCGCCGATTATGCGCCACCGGAAATCCGTAAATTTACCTTCCTCGGAGATTATGTGAGTACTCGGCGAGACCGGCATCCTGGCGTAAGGCACCTGCGGCATGATGCCGGCTTCCCGATCGTATTCCTGCTTCGGCACAGATACACCTTCAGCTTTTTTTATCACACGATATTGCTCGTACTTGTAAATCAGCTTCGAATACCACTCGTTGAGGGTGCTGTGGTAGATATCTAAAAGTCTTAAGTGAGCCAATGTGGTTCGTACGCGCGCTTACAGCGAGTAACTGCTTCCTCGTAAAAAAAAAATTTCCGAACCAAGAATCGAACCCGAGCCGCCCGAGTAGAAGCCGGGTACCTACAGCACTAGACCATTGTGGTCCACATTACATCGTGATTGAACTATTTTGTCATTTTGACGGGAAAGGGCACATAAACTACGCATGCCCACCGTGGAAGCAGTTACTTTCTGTCTCGTCTCGTCTAACCTTACTTTCACTGTACGCGTCCGGAATTTCAGGTTCGTGATAACTAGCACAGGAATCGCTGAGGTGGTCGTACTTCACGTACATGGTACGTAACGCCAAAAGGTAGCAGTCGATTATCGCTGGAAGGAGCACGTTCATTTTGAGTTGAGGGAACGCCACTTCGACTCGGGGCCTGCAACGGAAACTATAGTCGTTAAATGTACCTGAAAAAAGATGGTGGACCTTGGAGGTGCGCGAGGATTGGGGTACGACTTAGGCACTGAGACCATAGTCCACAGGCAGATCGTGAACTGCTCCTCGACAATATTAAAATCCGCCTTGACCAACTGAATGTTATTCATCTTGTTGGAGATATCTCGCAGAATCCTATACGAGGCGATGTCCAAGCTTCTCTGCTGCCGTTCGCGGAACAAACCGCAGATCTACAATGAAAAATGCGTCGCCGATCAAACGGGCGAAACTGCAAAACGCACCCAGCGCCAATTTTCAATTTTTCTACTCGAGGCGCCCAAAGGATTGTCGACGAAGTTGGTCAACTCCTCCAAGAGTTTCAGCACCTCGCTTGTGCGTGACGTTGCCTGTTCCATGGTGGTGTTCTCGATGGTCTCGTCCCACAGTTGCAAGTAAGTGCTCATCTGGCCGCACAGGCAGGGGTTGGGCAAACCGTCGCACTTCAAATACTGGACCCACTAAAACAATTAAATTATGCGCCGTTTTGCTTCCAGTTTTGTGGGATACGTTGGAGATTTACACATTATAGGCGCCAATTAAAAATAGAATTTTATTCCGCAAAATTATGCGGTGCTTGGCGATTTTAGTCAAATTCGGCAAATTTTCCCGGCGCAAAAATTAAGCGCAAAGTATGCGCTGTTAAATTGCAACTATGGGCTTCTTCCTTATTGTCAGTATCATATTAGAAATATTATAACCGAATTAGTTTAGGAGCAAATTATGCGCCTTCTTGCTGTGTTTAATTTAACAGATCAATATAAACCCAGTCTAATTGTTGGAAGGTGCCAATTAAAATGTTCTTCGTCAAGGACGTTTACTTACGTAATAATTAAGGAAACGAAACCGATTGGTTAATGATTAATTATGGCCGATTTAACATATTAGCTACATTTTGTAGGCGTGTTAGAAAATTAAAAAAAGAGTAGGGACACGTCCAGGAGAGATAGCGGTAGGGCATTTGGATTTAGACCGCCAGAGCGTCAAGTGCGTTGTCCGGGCACTGCTAATTATGCGTCGATAAAATTGTGCGTTGTAGCAGAGGGGTAACTGTTAATAGAAATTAGTTCGAATTAGTTGCGTTCACTCTAAAATAAATTGCGGGTACCAAGCATGCGCTATTTTAAGCAGGAACGACAAGACGCCTTTAAAATATCATTGTGTGCCTTAATAAAAAGTAAGTAGTAAACTAGTTATCCATTAATTAGATGCCGATTATGCGCCATTAATATAGCATTTTGTCCCCTGATAGAGTCTAACTACGCATTCACGATACAACTTGCAATTGTAATAGATCTACTTATTCAGTTAAGTTCGTATCTATTGTCACGTGCTTGAGATTTAAGCTCCAGTTATGCGCAATTCGTATTGTGACCGTCGATCTGTAAAGGTTTAGCAGTTGTAGATATTCACACAAAAATCTGTCCTTGGTCTAAGGATTAAGCTCCAGTTATGCGCCGTTAAATTAACATTGTGCGCTTTAATAAAAGGTGGGATGTTGAAAATGACATCGGCCTGTCTGTTGGGCTGCTGGTACAGTAATGATAACAATAATTTTGAGCGCCAATATGCCCTAATTATAAAACATGGTTGTACATTCTTATTGTAAAAACTCATTCAACTCACAGACGTTTATCAATAATTGTGGATATCCACAAAGTACACTTCTCTTGATATAAAAGCGCCAATTATGCTCCGCTAAAAATGGCGCACATCATAAGAAGGTAAGCTGTGCGGAAAATTAAATTGGCCTAATCGAAAACATCCATTAAGTTGGTAGTGAGCTACACACGAATTAGGCGCCAATTATGCGCAATTCAAATACTACTTTGCGCCCAAAATTTTGTACAGGATTTCTCATTAATTTTGGAAAAACACAAAAAGAAGTTTAGCAAATGTGCGAATGGTAACTAAAATATAGTAAGTAACAATAAGTATACAGGGAGTGCCCAAGAAAATACGTTTTCAATACCTTGAATGGGACACACTGTATATTTTTAGAGGGGGCCCCTGATAGTATAATAGCATTGTATTACAATGGTGATGGTGAAGCGTTGGTTACCGATTAGAAAATTTGAAGAGGAGATTAGTTTATATGCATAGACAACAATGGAGGTCACTTTGAGCAGCTATTGTAATCTTAAATATGATAATTTATACTAACTTATAGTCATCAATTTTGTTTACTATCGTAATGTATGCAGTTGCTTTGAACCGCATGTGAATGAAACTATAAAAATATACAGGGTGTCCCATTACAACGATATTGAAAATGTATGTTGTTGCCGAGATAAAATACAAAACTCTAAAGTGGAGGTCAAAATATGCTGGGAAACCCATGCTCTCTTTTTGGGTAAAATTTAAAATGGTACAATCAAAATTTGAAAATATTAGCTCGCTTAAAAGATACAGGGGAAACTCAACAAATGGTCTATTTCAGAATGACTCCATATTTTCTTAGTTAAAAGAGACATCAAAAAGTTTATTACGACAGTTTCTTTATAACACATTGTTGTGTTTTCAACGTAAACGGGGTTAGGTAAAAAAGTTATCGAACCTAACCTAATTTTTTTACAAAAGTAAGTTGTTAAATTCTCTTTTTAAAGATATTACATACCACGGATGATATTAAAACAAGATTCAAGTGATTCAAAAATACTAAAAAAGATTTAAAAAAATATTTTAAAAAATTAAAAAAAGTTCAAATGATTCAAAGAATACACAAAAATTTGATTGTTGAATTTTAAAATAATCTTTTTGCATCAATTTTGAATTTTTTAGTGTTATATTTTCGAAAAGAGAATTTAATATGCTATTTTTTTAAGATTAAAATGTACGGGGTGTTCTATTTAACAAGTAAGGTTAAGTCCGATAACTTTTTTGCCTGACCCCGTAAACGGCAGATTAAAATGAATCATTATAAAGAGACATTTGTAATAAACATAGAAAATATAGGGACATTCTGAAATTGACACTTTTTTGGTTTTCTCCGGTATGTCTGAAGAATTACGGATCGGAGAATTACTCAGAAAGGACGGGAATGGATGCCCCGACTACCCAAACCTCTGAATACCTAATTTGCACGAGATTGGATGGTAAAGAACCGAGATACAGCGATTTGCAATTTGACACCACCCACCGAAAATACATAAATCGCGATATCTCGAGAACGATGCGTCGTAGATGGGGGTTTATGGGTAACTTTGGAAAGCTGTCGATCTAACCTAGCGAAGTCTACCAACCTATACGCCGAGTTTGAGTAAAAAAGGGACAATCGATATATTGGTGCTTTTTTGAGCCGAATCAAAATTCTTTTCCTTTAGTTTTTCGAATTTTATAAAATTCCAACGTTACTTAAAAACCATCCCAACTACAATCACATAACAGTCGAACGACAACAACAAAAATTGACAAACGGAAAACAATAACAAACGGCGTTGATGCCTATATTACTTTTTTATTACGTGTCGAAAATGGGACACCCTGTATATAGCTATTACCGAAGCGTATTAGTAGTTTAGCAGTTAAGGATTTCTACAAACAGTATATTTCCCAATACGAGAATTAAGGTTCAATTATGCGCCCTAAAGGTTACAATGGTCGCATTCATTGGAAGTAGGAAAGTTATCGACGAATTGGGCGCAATTCAGGTCACATTTTGCGCCCTATATTATTTCAATTGTGCCCTGATGGAATGAAGATGGGATATGACAAATGGGTACGGGAAAGTAGGCGCGGAATATAAATCGCGGGCACCTTGGGCACCACCTGAGTGCGACGAAGATCAGTGCAGAAAAAGTAGGTCTGTATACGGGGTCAGGTAAACAAGTTATCGAACCTAACTTAATTTTTTTAATAGAACAAAAGCAAGTTGCTAAATTCTCTTTTCAAAGATATTACATACCACGGATGATATTAAAACAAGATTCAAGTGATTCAAAAATACCCAAAAAAGATTCAGAAAGATTAAAAAAATATTTAAAAAAATTAAAAAAAGGTTCACTGATTCAAAGCATACACAAGAATTTGATTGTTGAGAATTTTTCTAAGAATTCTAATAATCATTTTGAATCAATTTTGATTTTTTTAGTGTTATATTTTCGAAAAGAGAATTTAATATGCATTTTTTTAGATTAAAATGTACGGGGTGTTCTATTTAACAAATAAGGTTCGGTGCGATAACAAGCAGTTCTAGGGTATCTCATCACAGAACTGAACTTCGCCCCGTTAGATTACGGAACAATAATTTCATTTTTCATTTAATTTTAAATATAGTAGTTTATTATCCAATTGAATGTTTATTTTATGTTTATTTCCTTCTGTACTTCCAGTAATCTAATAAATGTCACTTATTATTATTATTTTTACCTGACCCCGTATACTTATTATGAAAACAACATTCAACAAACATTATAAAGAATCTTTTGTGATTTTTTTTTGTATATCTCTTATGTAGTTAAGAAAATATAGGGTTATCCTTAAATTGATTATTTTTTATGTGCGTGCATATTTTCCAACTTTTATTTTACCATTTCAAGTTTGACCCAAATAGAGCACATGATATCACTAACAATCACGGAGATACTCTATAATCGAATCTAATATCGAAAACGGGACACCCTGTACATCCTTATTGTAAAAACTACTTCGACGTTCAGTTCTTGAAACAAAATTGTACCGATGTGTCCTATTTCGGTTGAAACTGCACAATATCTCAGTTGTTTTTAGAGATAGAGACAGAGACAGAGAAACAGAATCAATCTAGCTAAGTTTGTTTCTGAGAGATACGGGGGGAAAACGAAAAGTTTTACTTTTTGGGATGTTATTGTGTCTTGCTACCCGCATGTAAGATAGAAAAAAAGTGAAAACTGCATATTTTGGATATTTTACTTAGAATCCAGTGGGGTAGTAGACCACCGTTTGTGAGATTTGATCCAAAGTTGGTGTTTTTCAAATGCAACACGCTGTATATCTTAACGTCAATTTTTGCATTTTTTTCGTAATTAGATTGATGTAGCACAACCTATATTTTTTACATAATTATACAGGGTCGCTGATAAGTCTGGAAACGGTGGATTATCGAGTAAAATACACAAGATATCAAAAAAGTTTTATGGTTCTTTAATTTTAAATATACGGGGTTGGCCATAACTTCGTGGCACAACAAAATTGCATTTTTTTTAAATAGAACGCCTTGTATATAATTCAATATGTCAATTCTTCTCCCAATTTTCTTCTTCTTACAAATTTTGCTTAAAATAGAGAGAAGAATTGCAATTTCGAATAATATACAGAGTGATCCATTTAAAAAATTGCAATTTTGCTGTGCCACGCCTTTGTGACCAACCCTGTATAATTAAAATTATTACTGTTTAGTAGACATTGAAAAACTCTAAAACTTTTGCATAGAACTTTTTTGTATATTTTCCCCGACAATTGACCTTTTGCAGACTTATCAGCGACCCTATATCTCATACCAGATCTGCCCCCTCGACTGCAACTAGTTTTATCCTTCATGGGGTACTCTAATGAAAGGTCTCAACGAAAGGAATTAATTTCTACCAACGATAGTCCTCCTCCTTGACCTCTTATCGTGATCGGGTATATTCCCTTATACCTCAAGAGCGGATTGTCGGAAGAGGGTATTTACAAAGGGCGATTGAGACGTCTGCAAGAAATATATCCATTGGTAATGGATTTTACATGGGTAGTAAAATATATAACATTCCGAAAAGTCAAACTTTTTGTTTTCACCTTGTATCTCAGAAACATACGCAGCCAGATTTATTCTGTTTGTGGTATTAAAAATGGCCAGCGTCGCGGAAACTGCAAATCTCTATCTTTAAAAACAGCTGACACACGTTACATGGTGTCCCATTTTCAACACGTTTTTAGGGTATTAAAGTGATTAAAAAAATCAAAAAAGGTTAAAAAATATATAAAAAAGATTTTTAAAAAATTATATTGGGGAGCGCACAAATGAGTGCGGAAAAGTAGGAGCGGAATATAAATCGCGGGCACCTTGAGCACCACCTGAGTGTGACGAAGATCACTGCAGCAAAAATAGCTGTTCCTCTCCAATGGATAGGAGCCAGGAGCAAGGTCGCAGCCAATGGCGCTGGTTCCTAAATGATCGCGTTTCGACGAATTACCTCAATTTCGTCCCGTTGCTTCCATCCCGCCTCGACGTAGCGTTTCGAAATCGTGTCGATCAAGTGCAAAGACGACTGCAACTGCTCGGTCCTAAGTGCCTGCTCCGCCGTCTCCTTCTTCTCCTTTTCCGCCGCGATCTTTTGCTCCTGCTTCAACCGCAACCGCTCGGCCTCCTCCTCCTCGCGCGCGGCCTGTTCGGCCAATCGCAACTCGGCGGCGGTCAGCGCCTCTTTCTTCTTCTTCTTGCCCTAAAAAAAGTCGCGATTACTTTGAGGGCGACACCGTTAGCGGCGCAATATGCTTCATCGTTGTCGATCGCCGGCGAGGTCTCGGCGGCCTTCTTTCCCTTCTTCGACTTTTTCGCTTTCTCGCGTTCCTCCTCCTTGATGGACTCCTCGGGCGTGTACGATTCCCAAGTCCAACTGTCGGCATCGTGCTCGTGGTGGTCCTCGATGAATTTGCTAATGCTCTTCTGTATCAGCGTCGACGATGCCGGGTAAATTCGCAGCGCCGATTGTACCTTTTCGTCAAGGTCCCCCACGTGTCTTTTACTGCCGCCGCCCCCTCGCAGTCGAAGGGCTGATCTACGTCGGAAAGTCAATGGACCTATGACCTTGCGAACAAATTTAAATTGCGCCCCCTCTTTCTTTCCGCTCATTTTTATGCAAATGTCAAGAACAATAGGCGTTTGTTTCAAACGATGACTTTCCTAAATTTTGGAAATAAATTATCATTTTGGACGCGCTCACCTTCAGTTGCTTTGACGACATGGCAAGTATCAGAGAATTTTACGCTGGACGCTCCATTCTTGTAACCGGTGCTACCGGCTTCATCGGTAAAGTCTTAATCGAGAAGCTGCTACGATCGTGCCCGAAAATCGATAAACTCTACATTCTAATTCGGTCGAAAAAGGGTCAGAGCCCCGAAGAACGCATCAAAGCGATCACGGACCTTCCGGTAAGTGCAACGTTGCCCCATCAAGCTCCATCCCTCGTTTTAGCTCTTCGACAAACTAAAATTGGAGTATCCAAATGCGATCGGCGATAAGCTTAGATTAATCAATGGCGATGTCACCGAGTTGGGGATGGGACTCTCCAAGTCCGACGAAGATCTCCTAATCGAAAACGTCTCGGTGGTATTCAACGGCGCCGCCTCGGTACGCTTCGACGACACCCTGAAGTACGCGGTCTTAATGAACACCCGAGGCACGCGCGAGCTTCTCAACCTCGTGCTTAAAATGAAAAAAATAGACGTCTTCCTTCACATCTCCACCACTTACTGCAACGTCGATCACCAGGTGGTCGACGAACGGCTCTACCCCCCTCACGCCGATTGGAGAAAGACGATCGAGATCGCCGAGAACATCGACGAACACCACCTGCAGGTGCTCACCGAGAAGTACATCGGCGCCCTCCCGAACACCTACACCTTCTCCAAGTCCCTGGCGGAACACTGCGTCACCGATTTGTGCACCGGCAAGATCCCCGCTGTCGTCTTCCGTCCGTCGATTGGTAAGCGAGACGAGCGATCCTCGAGTTTTGTAGTTAAGCGAGCGTTTTAGTGATAGCGACACGAAACGATCCCGTAGCCGGATGGCTTGATAACTTCAATGGACCCATCGGTCTATTGATAGCGTCGGGAAAAGGTAGTCCTTACACGCGGTACATCGACATTCAGTAAATCTTGTCGTTTAAGGTATCTTAAGGACCTGTTGCACGAATCCGGATCTGAAGGCGGATTATATGCCCGTAGACACTTGCGTTCGTGCCTTGCTGCTCGCTGCATGGACTAAAGGTACGTCGAAGTAAGTAGACATTGATTAAATAAAGGTTGTGGGCGTTGCCTAGTTACGCGTTATTTACTTGTGGTGATTTTTTTCTAAATTGGCGAGAGGGGGCGCTGTCACCCTTACCAACGTTTCTAACGCACAAATACAGGAAATATAGATAGCAAGGGTATGGGCGCCCAATAGACGTCAAGAGGAGGTCAGCCCCCCCCCCCCCACCTACTTTCCTATATCTGTCATTCTAGTGGTCAGGAAATTATTTCAAAATGCAAATCAGTCAGACCTTTACTCTGCCTAGGTGTATGCCGAACTCGCTTTCGCGTCGCTCGGCACTGCTTTTATAACTATAAACCTAAGTAGAGCAAAGGTCTGATGGTGTAGTCATTCCTCTACTCTGGTAAGTCAGACCTTTACTATGCCTAGGTTTGTGACAAACCCGCTTTCGCCTAGGTTTGTGATTGTCCCGAACTCGCTTGCGGCTCGCTCGGTACTGATTATAAAACATAAGCAGAGGAAAGGTCTGATGGGGTAAGTCAGACCTTTACTCTGTCTAGGTTTGTGCCGAACTCGCTTTCAGTTCGCTTGGCACTGGTTTTAAAACTATAAAACCTAGGTATAGCAAAGGTGTCATGGGGTAAGTCAGACCTTTACTCTGCCTAGGCTTGTACCGAATTCGCCTTCGGCTCGCTCGGCACTGATTTTAAAACTATAAAACCTAGGCATAGCATAGGTCTGATGGGGTAAGTCAGACCTTTCCTCTGCCTAGGTTTATACCGAACTCGCCTTCGGCTCGCTTGGCACTGATTTTAAAACTATAAAACCTAGGCATACCAAAGGTCTGATGGGGTAAGTCAGACCTTTACTCTACCTAGGTTTGTACCGAACTCGCCTTCGGCTCGCTTGACACTAGTTTTACACAGAGTAAAGGTCTGATGGTGTAAGTCAGACTTCTACTGTGCCTAGGTTTGTGCCGAACTCCCTTTCGCCTCGCTCGGCACTGATTTTAAAACTATAAAACCTAGGCATACCAAAGGTCTGATGGGGTAAGTCAGACCTTTACTCTACCTAGGTTTGTACCGAACTCGCCTTCGGCTCGCTTGACACTAGTTTTACACAGAGTAAAGGTCTGATGGTGTAGTCAGACCTTTAATCTGCCTAGGTTTGTGCCGAACTTGCTTTCGGCTTGCTCGGCACTGATTTTAAAACTATAAAACCTAGGCATAGCAAAGGTCTGATGGGTAAGTCAGACCTTTACTCTGCCTAGGTTTGTACCGAACTCGCCGTCGGCTCGCTTGACACTAGTTTTACACAGAGTAAAGGTCTGATGGTGTAGTCAGACCTCTACTCTGCCTAGGTTTGTGCAAAACTCGCTTTCGGCTCGCTCGTTACTGATTTTAACACTATAAAACTATAAAACCTAGGCATAGTAAAGGTCTGATGGAGTAAGTCAGACCTTTACTCTACCTAGGTTTGTACCGAACTCGCCTTCGGCTCGCTTGACACTAGTTTTAGATAGAGTAAAGGACCCCTACTCTGCCTAGGTTTGTGCCGAACTCGCTTTTAGCTCGCCTGGAACTGATTTTAAAACTATAAAACCTAGGCATAGCAAAGGTCTGATGGGGTAAGTCAGGCCTTTACTCTGCCTAGGTTTATACCGAACTCGCCTTCGCCTCGCTCGGCACTAGTTTTACACAGAGTAAAGGTCTGATGGTGTAAGTCAGACTTCTACTGTGCCTAGGTTTGTGCCGAACTCGCTTTCGCCTCGCTCGGCACTGATTTTAAAACTATAAAACCTAGGCAGCAAAGGTCTGATGGGGTAAGTCAGACCTTTACTCTACCTAGGTCTGTACCGAACTCGTCTTCGGCTCGCTCGGCACTCGTTTTACATAGAGTAAAGGTCTCATGGTGTAAGTCAAACCTCTACTCTGCCTAGGTTTGTGCCGAACTCGCTTTCGGCTCGCTCGGTACTGATTTTAAAACTATAACACCTAGGCATAGCAAAGGTCTGACTTGTTTGTACCGAACTCGCCTTCGGCTCGCTTGACACTAGTTTTACACAGAGTAAAGGTCTGATGGTGTAGTCACTGTAGTCAGACCTCTACTCTGCCTAGGTTTGTGCCGAACTCGCTTTCGGCTCGCTCGGCACTGATTTTAAAACTATAAAACCTAGGCATAGCAAAGGTCTGATGGGGTAAGTCAGACCTTTACTCTACCTAGGTTTGTGCCGAACTCGCTTTCGGCTCGCTCGGCACTGACTTTGAAACTATAAAACATAGGCATAGCAAAGGTCGGATGGGGTAAGTCAGGCCCTTACTCTGAGTAGGTTTGTGCCGAACTCACCTTCGGCGCGCTCGGAATTAAGCGAGTTTTAAAATCAGGCCTAGGCAGAGTAAATGTCTGATGGGCTAAATCAGACATCTACTTTGCCTGGGTCTGTGAAGTGAGTTTTAAAACCAGTGCCGAGCGAGCCGAAGAGACGAGTTTGACACAAACCTAGTCAGAGTAAATCTGATGGGGTAGGTCAGACCTCTACTCTGCCTAGGTTTTAAAGGTATCACTTTTGTATTCCTTGGGCTCTTGTTTGTCCTTCGAGGAGTCGTCGCTCTGGGTTATCAAATGTTTGCTGTTGTTCACTTCGCTAATGAGTGGGTTAGTCGAGATGTCGCTAAAAAAAATCACAAAAATCACCATCCAGTTCTGCATGGAACCTGTTGGAAAGCTGGAAATTGTTGATTTCAACAGAACGGTGCGCCCGCGCACAAGGCCCTAATCGTACGAGAATACCTACGCTACCTCCCGGCCCATGTGTTTTTCCAAAATGGGTGTAATAGTTTGACGTTGAGTTCCAAAATTGACTTCAAGTAAGGAAGTGTCCACTCGACGTGTGTAATTCGATCGATGAAGTAACCCAAACGTACCCAAATCAATCAAGGGAGTATCCGATTTAATAATTTTCCGTTCAGTCGAATTACTCAAATTATTCAATCGTCTGACGGTTGATTTCAGAACGGCTAATAGTCGCAATCTGTCATACTAGATGGCACTATAATTTATTTATCAATGCGGTGGATCCGGTTGAAATTCCACCAGCAATTTATTCCTCGATCTCTATCTTCAATGACTGTAAAGTTACACATACAATATCCTACTCTGATACACCCTGTAGAGTTGCTATTTTCCAATCAGAAATCATATTCCATACAAAAATTTGCATGATATGGTATTTTAAAGTGTGAAGCTCCTTTTTTGCTATTTTTGTTGTATTTTCTGCTCAGATTATTTTTACTTGAAAATCTTATGCGCTATTGTTTGTTAGCGTACCACAACGAAGTTGATGTAACGCTTGTGTGCTCGATTTTCCGGCGTCTGTCTGTCTGCCACGCAGAACTGAGTTTTCAAACCAGTGGCCAAGCGGCTATTGACCCCCAATGTTTTCAAAATACATACAGACATTGGAAGATTTTCATTGGATGTTAGTGTCTATAAGAGTTTTTGTATTTCAGTAATTCAGAACAATCAAAGAACCTTATTAAGTTTTGTGAAAGCTTAAAAGTGTTGTCTAGGGCCTTCAAGAGGTTTTATGAGTCTCTAAATAAATCTCGTATCCGCTTCTGAGCGTCTTTAAGAGTTAGAAGAGCGCGGTTCTCAGGCTACGCCGCGTGGTCGTCAGAACCTTGCACGTGTAACCCATTTATTCCAGCATATCTCCCGCCAGACTGCCGCAACTAACGTTTCTCACGGACTTAATCGTCCATTACCGTATCCGTCCACTGTTGGGCAACAAAACTATTGGGAAACCCAAAATGCAATTGACCAATCAAGTTTTGGATAAACCTGCTCTATAATGAGATCAGCCTGTGCACCCTATAGTTATTATACCTTCCAAACCGTCTTAGCGCCCCATACCTAGACACCTTCCAGCTCCAAAGTTGCTCGAAACAATACCATGCCTCCTTCTTTGATGGAATTGCTATAAATGCTACAAATCTCCATTGCAGAGATCCGAAAGAAAAGCTTGACGTGTCATTCTACAACTGTAGCAACAACGACCTGTATCCGATCACCATGAAGGAGCTAATCGATATGGCCAAGAAGCACATGTGGGAAGTACCGCTTAGCACTATGCTATGGTATCCAGGCGGAGGGGTGACTCCGTACAGATTGTGGTATTACCTTAACGTTATCTTCCTCCATCTTCTGCCGGCCGTAGTGATCGACTCGATCCTGCGACTGCTCAATCACAAACCGCTCTTAGTGAAAATCCAAAGACGCATCTACATTGCGAACATCGCTCTCCACCACTTCATTACGTATCAGTGGTCGTTTCCGAACTATAAGTTATTGGCCTTAGAAGAGAGACTACTCCCCGAGGAGGCGGAGGATTTCGGTTACGACAGGTACAATTTCAACGTCGATGACTACTTCTTCAATTGCATGAAATACGTCCCTCTGTATCTCCTGAAGGAGCACGACTACAATCCTGAGCAGGCGAAGCGGAACTTATATCGGTACGTTACGCTTTACTCCCGAGTACCAAATTTGACTCTTTGGTTTTAGTATGTACATATTGGATCGTGTGGTCCGCATCCTCGTCCTGGCACTCATTGTGTGGTACTGTACTTGCAAGGTCAACCTTATGGGATACTTGGGAACGAAACTGGTCGATTTTTACGAGGCCATTTTAATATAATTAGTTTTTGTAGGTACGTTAGCAACCATCACCTTTGTTCCAAACCATCTTTCTTAAATGCATAATGATTACTACAGAAATTGCTTAACAAAGAAAAACAAAAAGAAGCAATAAAGATAGTTTACTCAAAGAAAAAAGATACTAAAAAAGCAGAATAACACTATTTTATTTTTAATAAGATCTAGATACTTCAACGTTATTTTTGAGAGCTGGCAACAGCGCTTGTTTTTAGATGAAGAGGAAAGCCGCCGTCCAGCGAACGCTCCTTACTGTACAGCCGTCTTGGTTTGAGGTGTCGTCGAGAGAGCGTGTTGTGTAGATTAAGTTTTTCTGTGTTATTTAATGCGGATAGTAATCCTTGCATTTCTTTATAATGTGTTTGTGTTTTGTATACATTTGAGATGTCCGTTTTCAAAATTTAAGCTACAAGTACCGTTGGCGTAAATAGAGACACCATTTGACAGTGTTTTCTCGATTCAAATAAAGAGGCGCTGATGTAATTTAAAAATGGCGAGTATTGGTTGTGTAAACATTGGGCGCGTTCAGCCGTATTTTAGTGTGGTTTCTTCCAATTTAGGTTGAATTTCTTTGGGCTTGCGCGGTTTTTTGAAAAGGGGTACCTAAGCAAAATATCGAGTGTATTATCATTATTCAGCGGGCCCCATCAAACGTTTTCTTGTATTTTGGGCGAATGGTTTCTGGGTACGGTCCTGTCGAGTGAATGTCAAAGGACCCAAACCGTGGCGACATAACGAAAGGTCCGCCGTTATCGATCTTGTTTTGCCGAGTCCGTGGGAAATGAATCTACGTGGGTTTGATATAAAACCTGTCAATTTGGGTTTCTGTCGTTGTCATTGGTTGAGAAGCCGTTAGTTGATTGATTGAACAGATCCGTACGAAGGCGTAGAAGGGCCCACAACGATCAAGATTAGGTTCTTAAGAAATGCGCTAAAAGTGAATGAGGGAAATGCAAAGAGATCTCCACATGTACACCGCTTCATAGCAAACATGAACGAAAGTAAGTCTGGCGATAAGAAAGGTATTGGTTAATGCGAGCGCGGTTGCCACGATCTCTTCGGATCTAAAAGTTGCGTTCGTTCCATTTGCGCTGACTGGAAAAACCGAAATGCGGGTTTTCTGTTGGTTGTTAGGGCACGTCACTAGATGTCATTGTGAAGAAGGCCCGCTTCCCTTTAAATGTTGTGTCTTTAAGATCTCCCATGAGATTTTATATTTGTAGATGCTAAACAATGTTTAAGATCGTATGAGAGCAAGTGTTTAAGGGTATTTAAGAGCTTTGTAAGTTGCTTTGAGCAAATGAATTTCTACTTATAATATCCTATTCTTTTAAAGAGAATCTTTAAGGGTTTTCAAACGTTTTTCATGTACACTAAAGAATTTCTTTTAGAACTTTAGTGTAAACAAATTACAAGTGGTTTACCGCGAGGGGAAAATCACTGTAGAATGTTGGTGTACACTACTAGCATTTTGTAGAATTTTCCTAATTTTTTTGGAAATTTCTAAATTTTTTAGATATTTTATACTTTTTTATAGATAGTTAAGAATTTATTTAGAATTTTTTTCGATTTTTTTTTAATTTTCTAGATTTTTTACATTTCATATTTTTTTACAATTTTTTAGATAGTTTAGAATTTTCTGGAGTTTTTTAAATATTTGATTTTTTAGAATTTGTCATATTTTAAACTTTTTTTTATAATTTTCCAAAATTTTTCAGGATATTTTAGGTATTCTAGATTTTTGAGATATTTTAGAATTTCCTTGAATTTTTCAGAAATGTTAACATTTTTTAAAATAATTTTCCAGAATTTTGTTGATATTTCAGATTTTTTTTTAATTTTTCACATATTTTAATTTGTTTTTTTATAATTTTTCAGAATTTTCTGCAATTATTTAGGTATTGCTGATTTTTTAGACATTTTAGAATTTTTCTAAATTTTCTAGAATTTTCTAGAATTTTTTTAAATATTTCAGATTTTTTTAGAATTTTTTTTAGAATTTTCCAGAATTTTTCAGAACTTTCTACAATTCTTTAGATATTTCAGATTTTTCCTAAAATGTTTCTAGCATTTTTTATATATTTCATTTTTTAATATTTCAGATATTTTAATATTTTTTTATAATTTTCCAGAATTTATTTGGTATTTCAGAATTTTTTAGAATGTCCTAGAATTTCTTAAGAATTTTTTAGAATTTCTTAAAATTTTCTAAATATTTTTAGATATTTCAACGTAAATACTTTAATCTTTAAACACAATACTGTCATTTTACCACAGTCACAATTTTTATATCAGCATTTTCTAAATTAGTCTGCATAGTGTGAAGGAAATGTGGTTCACCCCGAAGGGAAAATCCACTGTAGAATTGTGGTGTACACTACTAGCATTTTGTAAAATTCTCCAGAATTCTAAATCTCTAGAACTTTTTAGATATGATTATTGATTAGACTTTTTTTAGTAATTTTTTTTAGAATTAATTTAAAATGTTTTAAAATGTCATTGAATTTTAAAAAAAATTTTTAAAATGTTTTTAGAATTTCCTAAAATTTTTTTGATATTTCAGATTTTTTTAGAATTTTTCTAGAATTTTTTAGGTGTTTCAAAAATTTTTTGAGATATTTTAGAATTTTTTTTAATTTTCTGGAATTTTTTAGAATAATAGTGTATACAAATTTGAAGTGGTTTACCCCGAAGGGAAAATCCCTGTAGAATTTTGGTGTACACTACTAGCAATTTGTAGAATTTTCCAGAATTTTTCTAAAATTTTTTAGAAATCTGGAATTTTTTATAATAATAATAATAATATTTTTTTATTCCATGGACCGTGGTAGGTATAGGACATGTCAAATACACATAATTACTAACAGACAAATAATATCACAGTTTATATCACAATTTAAAGTGGTTTACTCCGAAGGGAAAATCACTGTAGAATTTTGTTGTACGCTACTAGTATTTTTAAAAATTTCCAGAATTTTTTTGATACAATTAGACTTTTCTTGGATATTTTAGAATTTAGAATTTTTTTAAACTTGATTTTTTTACCAGATTTCATTAATTTTTTTGAATTTTTCTAAATTTTTTTAGAATTTCCTAAAAACTTTTTGATATTTCAGATTTTTTTAAAATTTTTCTACAATTTTTTCGATATTTTAGAATTTGGGTTTTAATTTTCTGGAATTTTTAGAATTTTAGTGTATACAAATTAGAAGAGGTTCATCCCGAAGATTTTTAAAAAATTATATTACAGATTTTTTTAGAATTTTCTAGGTATTTCAAAAATTTTTTGAGACATTTTAGAATTTTTTTTAATTTTCTGGAATATTTTAGAATTTTAGTGTACACAAATTTGTTTACCCCGAAGAGAAAATCACTGTAGAATTTTGATATACACTACCAGCATTTGGTAGAATTTTCCAGAATTTTTCTAAAATATTTTAGAAATCTAGATATTAGACTTTTTTTAGATATTTTTTTTGGAATTAATTTAGAATTATGTCCTTAAATTTTTTAATCAGATTTTTTTTTAATTTCTTTAGAATTTACTAATTTTTTTTGAGATTTTTTTAGAATGTTTCTAAAAGTTTTTAGGTATTTCAAAATTTTTTTGAGATATTTTAGAATTTTTTTAAATTTTCTGGAATTTTTTAGAATGTTAGTGTACAAATTTGAAGTGGTTTACTCCGAAAGGAAAATCACTGTAGAATTGTAGCATTATGTAGAAATTTCCAGAATTTTTCTAAAATTTTTCAGACATCTCTAGAATTCTTTAGATATGATTAGACTTTTTTTAGGATATTTTCGAATTTATTATTTTTTAAAACTTTCTTGAATTTTTTTGATATTTCAGATTTTTTAGAATTTCTAGAATTTTTTATGTATTTCAGATTTTTTTAGATATTTTAGAATGTACACCAGCGTTATCTCACGGAGTTTCGGCGAAATAAAATATTACCTTTGGATCCTGGCCACGATCGTCTGAATTCAGAAGGATGCTGTCTGCAATCAAATGAAAACACAAAACAAAAGAGGAGTGATAGCGGGACATACAAAGTGCGAGAAAAATGTAACGTTTGTCAATTACTCAAATACTAAAATTGAGGTTTCAATCTCTGGTAAATGAATCAATTTTTACAAGGCTATTTTAATATAATCAGTTTTTGTACATCGTAACCAAGGAATTACTAACAACAGTCATGTAACGCTCCCACTTTTGTCTCAAATCAGCTTCCCTAAAACAAAAACGATTAGTACAAAATCTTCGTTTGTCTCGCCTTACTTTAAAACGTCCAGGCTCAGCGCGCACTTAGTGTACGCATTGAGGAAAATCTCCAAGTCGTTCACACTCCAGATCGTGTGCTTCCAGTTTTCGAGAATGACGGAAAAGTCGTAAAAGAGATTGCGCAACTCTCTCACGCGGTGCAGCGAGGTCGCCAGCGTGAGTATCGAACGCGAGTACGAGCGAAAGCACGACTCCGCCTCCGAGTACGCTTTCGACGTGAGCGCCGATTTCACGCACGCGCAAACCAAGCTCTTGTGCTCCTTCTCTTTGTCGAGCAGAACGCGCAGATCCCGTAAGTCGAGCAGGAATTCCTTATCCATTTCCGTGTCGAAATAGTCCGGACCTGCTAACACCGATGAGTGAGTCAAAACGCTTTCTTGCGAACGAGTACCTGACGAGGTGTACGTCCACTCGTTCATGACCTGCTCGGCGCACCGCTTCAACGCCGGAAACGACAAGCTCTGCAGTTTGCGTTTGGACGTTTCGAACCTTAGGCAGGCCAGGAAGACGATGCACGCGTACTTGCTGGCCAAATCCGGCGAGAGCATGAAGTACTTTTGGACGTTCTGGACGAGCGAGCCGGGCATCTCTTCGACCATCTTGAAAACCCGCTTCAAGTTGTCGAACTGGCGCCGACACGATTTTAACGGTACGGACGTTTTCTCGCAAATTTCGTCCAGATCCTTGCGATGCTTCGACGACAGCTTCTTGCCGAGCAATTCCCGCGCTACGTTGTCGTCGAATTCATAGTACCTGCAGATTGGCACAACAATAATTCATCAACAAAGAAATCCTTGAAATAAACTGAAGCATAATTTGGCGAATTTTATTTTCATTTATTTTTTTCCAAAACCTATCCTCTGGCGACTTAGATTGTACCCACAGCACTGTGTTTATGATCTATGATCAAAACAATGTAAAAGAGAAGAAAAACTTCGGTTCAGGCACTTCAACTGGTGAATAGTGAGCGGCTAAGTTTATCCAACAACAAACTTCGACCCTTTGGGTGCCAAAAATTCGGCCAAAGCTTACACTTTCTATAGTACATACTTGCAATTGTATGTTCAATAACTCAAAACTTCACACATTTAACACCAATAAAAGGCTACTCGTTGGAAACGCACGGACCGCGTACAGAATTCAAACGCCATTAAAAGGGCGCCACTCCCAAAAGCAGGGTTGCCAATGACGGTACAATTGTATCAATCTGGTACATTTTTGAGCATTTTGTACAAAAATACAATTCGATCTTTTTTGGTACGTTTTTATGAAATCACTGTAACGCGCACATTTGTAAGTTGCGCGAGGAAAAATTTACAAATGTCATTGATAATAAAAGAACAGGTCAACTTTAAAGTAAAACAATAGGAATATGCCGTTCTAGAATGAGCAAAGCAAGTTCATTCATTCATTGTAATATGATGGTTTATGACTCTGACTCATAAATCCCTAGTCCAGTTCGTTTACTTTTGAAACAATACACCCTATATATTAAAACAACTACCTACACATTCTATTTTTGTTCAGTTACTGAAAAATCGTTTCTATGCGTTTTAATGCTCCTATATTGGTATTTTAAGATTTCAGTACAAAAATTTGTAATTTGGTACATTTCTATCACACAGTTGGTACAATTAATAAAATCGCTCTGGCAACGCTGCCCAAAAGGCAGGTACTCGTTCCAAGACAGCCAAATTGTGAAATTCACTGTCTTGAATGACAACAATCGTTAATAACAAGCAAATCACGGCTAATTAAAAACAAATCGATGGTAGAACGGTAAATAAATGTCTGAAGACTTTCTCTCAATGACCTGACGTAGTTAATCAATCCTCTGTGCTCTGCCAGCTGTTTATGATGAATTGACATTGCCCTCGTCGTGAAAAAACTTATTGGTGAAGACGGAAACTGCGCCCTTTAACCCGTAATTGGGATAATCTGACAGGGAGATTATCAAACGTACAATTGTCACGTCTGCCACCGACCGACAGGCTTTTAAACAGGATGCTTAATGCATGGTATATAGGATGGTTAGTGTTTTTTTTAGAATTTGCCATTTGAGTTTTTTTTAGAATTTCTTTAAAAATTTTCGTGTACACAAATTTGAAGTAATTTACCGCGAGGGAAAAATAACCGTAGGATTTTGGGGTACATTACTAGCACTTGTAGAATTTTCCAAAATTGTTCTAGAATTTTTCAAAATTTGTTTCAGATTTCTCTAGATTTTTTTATATTTCAGATTTTTTTAAATTTTTCTAGAACTGTTTAATTATTTTAGAATTTTTTAGAATTTTCTAGAATTTTTCAACATTTGTTTAAGATTTTTCTAGAAATTTTTTGATATTTCAATTTTTTTAATTTTTCTAGAACGGTTTAAATATTTTAGAATTGTACAGAATTTTTTGGAATTTGCTAAAAATTGTTTAGTTTTTTAGAATTTTAATGTATACAAATTTGAAGTCGTTTACGGCGAGGAGAAAATGGCTGTAGAATTTTGGTGCACATTACTAGCATGTTGTAGAATTTTTTACAATTGTTTAGAATTTTTTTAGAATTTTCTATAAGTTTTTAGAATTTCTTTTAGAATTTTAGTGTACACAAATTTGAAGTGGTTTATCGCGAGGGAAAAATAACCGTACAATTTTGGAGTACATTACTACCACTTTGTAGAATTTTCCAAAATTGTTCTAGAATTCTTTAGAATTTTTCAAAATTTGTTTAAGATTTTTCTAGAATTTTTTTGATATTTCAGATTTTTTTAATTTTTATAGAACTGTTTAAATATTTTAGAATTTTTTAGAATTTGCTAACATTTTTTTAGTTTTTTGGACACAAATTTGAAGTGGTTTACCGCGAGGAGAAAATTACTATAGAATTTTGGTGCACACTACTAGCATGTTGTAGAATTTTCTAGAATTGTTTAAATTTTTTTTTAAATTTCTAGAATTTTTTAGAATTTGAGTGTACATAAATTTGAAGTGATTTATCGCGGGGAAAAAATAACCGTAGAATTGTGGGGTACATTACTAGCACTTTTTAGAATTTTCCAAAATTGTTCTACAATTTTCCAAAATTGTTCTACAATTTTCCAAAATTGCTCTACAATTTTTTAGAATTTTCTAGAATTTTTTAGAATTTTTCAAAATTTGTTAGATTTTTCTAGAATTATTTTGATATTTCAGATTTTTTTAAATTTTTCTAGACTTGAAATATTTTAGAATTTTCTAAAAGGTTATACATTTTTTAGAATTTGCTATAATTTGTAAGATTTTTCTAGAATTTTTTTGAAATTTTAGATATTTTTAAATTTTTCTAGAATGTTTAAATATTTTAGAATTGTATAGAATTTTTTAGAATTTGCTAAAATTTTTTGTTTTTTAGAATTTTAGTGGACATAAATTTGAAGGGGTTTACCACAAGGGAAAAAAATCACTGTAGAATTTTGGTGTACACTACTAGCATTTTGTAGAATTTTCCAGAATGTTTCTACCATTTTTAGAAATTTCTTTTTAGATATTTTAGAATTTATTTAGAATTTTCAAGAATTTTTTTAATTTTCCTAGAATTTTTAGACATTTCAGATTTTTTTAGAATTTTTTAGATATTTTAAAATTTGTTTTCAATTTTCTAGAATTTTTTTAGAAATTTCAGATTGTTTTTTTAAATTTATTAGATATTTTAGAATTTTTTTCAATTTTCCAGAATTTTTAGAACATGTTTAAAGAATTTTCTAGAATTTTTAAGATAATTCAGATTTTTCTTAGAATTCTAGAATTTTTCAGGTATTTAAAAAAATGTTTTTATTTTTCTTTTTTTTATATTTTTTTCTAGACTTTTTCAGATATTTAAAATTTTGTTTATAATTTTCAAGAATTTGTTTAAATTTTTTAGGTATTTCAGATTTTTATTAGATATTTTAGAATTTTTTTTAGTTATTTCCCAGAATTTCTTAGAATTTTATTTATTAGGTATCTCAGATTTTTTGTAGATATTTTAGAATTTTTTAGAATTTCCCAAAATTTGGTACCATTTTTTAGAATTCTCTACAATTTTTTTTATAATCTTCCAGAATTTTTCAGATATTTTATAATGTTTATAGAACATCCTAGAATTATTTAAATTTTTCTAGAATTATTAAATATTTTAGAATTTTAAATTTCTAGAATTTGTTAAATATTTTAGACCTTTTTTAGGTATCAGAATTTTTAAAAATTTTTTTGGATTTTTTAAATTTTTTTAGACATTTCAGATTTTTTTAGAATTCTGTTTATAGAATTTTCTAAAAAATTTTTTTTTAATTTTTTTAGATATTTCAAATTTTTTTGGAATTTTTCTAGAATTTTTCAGATATTTTAAAATTTGTTTTTAATTTTTCAGAATTTTTTGATTTTCTGAAATTTTTTAGGTATTTCAGATATTTTATATTTCAGAATTTCATAAGAATTTTCTAGAATTTGTTAAAACTTCAAAAAAATTTTTAGAAATTTCTAGACAGATATTTCAGATTTTTCTTAGAATTTTTAGATATTTTTGAATTTTTTTTATAATTTTCCAAAATTTGTTTCCAATTTTCTGTTATTTTTTTAAAATTTCAGATTGTTTTTTAAAATTTATTAGATATTTTAAAATTGTTTTTCAATTTTCCAGAATTTGTTAGATAATTCAAATTTTTCTTAGAATTCTAGAATTTTTCAAGTATTTTAAAAAATGTTTTTAATTTTTCTTTTTTTTATATTTTTTCTAGAATTTTTCAGATATTTAAAACATTTTTATAATTTTCCAGAATTTATTTAATTTTTTTAGGTATTTCAGATTTTCCTTAGATATTTTAGAATTTTTTTTAGAATTTCCCAGAATTTCTTAGAATTTTATTTTTTAGATCTCTCAGATTTTTTGTAGATATTTTTATTTCTTTTAGAATTTTTTAGATATTTTAGAATTTCCTAGAATTTTTTAGATACATATTTCAAATTTTTTAGAATTTTTAGATATGTATTTTAGCAATGTTTAAAATTCTCTAGAATTGTTAGGATATTTTACATATTTTTTAGAATCCCTCTAAAATTGTTTAGATATTTGAGAATTTTTTAGATATAGATTTTTTTTTAGAACTTTTCTTGAAATTTCTAGAAAGTTTTTTTTATGATAACCAACAACTGAGATACCAATTTAGTACTTAGGCATTAAAATATGGACACACTGTGTACCTACCTACTCAATAAAATTTTCATAGGTACAAGGTGTTTCAAAAAGTTTGCCATCGGTAAGTTAATAAATTTTTTGGTGTGGGTGGTATAAAATTGAGCAATGTATCCACCTATTTTAGGCCAAGTGAAACAAAATCTCTTCCCGCACTATAACTATTCAAAATAATTAGCGGATAAGCGAAATCTGCAAGATCCGCAACGTGTCTTCTCACATTGCGACAACGTGTGTAGGTACTTACTTCTCAATTAACAATTGTTGAGTTTTCGGCTCAATTTGAAACGCCAACTGTTCCTGTAACTTCGACGGATGAGTGAGAAGCTTCTCCAACAGTGAATAGGTACGATAATGGTCGAGGACATCGCTCGCGATCAGCTCGAGCGAGGCGCCGGTTTGTTGGCCGAGGCCCTGCTGATTTAAGATAGCTACGGCTTCGCTGGCTGAAACGAGTGCGAGCCTAAAGGTGGATACGAACGAGAGACAAGCGATTTACCTGTACGACCATCTATCCATAGCTGGTAAATGTCGGGATCGACCAACGTGTAGTTTGTTATGAACACGTCGACCTCTGTGCACATTTGATTTTATCGGTATCAACGGAGAGCTCACGGCGGATCATATGTTTTTTGTAAATAAATAAATTGTATAATTTCAAATCATAATAAACCAGATGGCGCTTTGCCTGCGTTGCCACTAAAATATCAAGACAGTGTTGCCATGTTTTTTTACATACAGTGTGAACCCATCTGAATAAATGTGAATATATTTATAGATTCCAATTTATGAGATTGCTTGGATTTTTTTTATCCTTCGGTTTCTCCAAGTTTTTCAGTTGTATTTATCAAATTCGTCCAAACCTAAAACCGCTTTAGATACATCATCCAGTTCAGGATGTTTCTTCTCCTCAATCTTTCCAGATGCTTCTTATTCTTCTGTTTTTGAATTCTTCATATACATATATATTCTTTAAATTATTTATTTAGCATATCAACATTTTTTGATTTTTCTTTATTTTATATTATCAACTTCCATCGATGCTTGAAGTTGGTAAAATTTTGCAACATCTTCTATGATACTTTTGTTTCTTCAAATTGATTTGTTTTTTAAGTTCTCCTATCCGACGTTGCAGATCCTTAAGTTGTTTTGAACTGCTACGTTTTTTTTCCAATTTATTCATATCTTTTCGATTATTTGGATTCTTCTAATTCCCACATAATGCTTTATACAGTGTGCCAAAGGTAAGGATGTCAACCATAGGGGTCTCCGAAACCATGGAAGATACGACGACGGTCAAATTAGAAAAAAGATGCGTAATTAAGGCTTATTATCACGCTTTAAAGAAAATCAAAACATTTCCATTACTTTCAAAGATATGCCAGAAAAACAGATTTTAGAATGTTTATAGAATTTGTTAGATAACCGATAATCAACAACATAATGGATAAACTTTAAGAGGCGCGAGGGTTATAAGCTTTTTTGTATCTCCTTTTCTTCGCACGCTATAAATTAAAAAATTCCAGAAAATCAAATACCCAAAATTTCGAAAATCCCAATCTCAACCAGAATTTAAAAAATCCCAAAATCTCATAAATCCCAAAATTTCTAATTCTAATAGGTACCTGAAATTTCAAAAATTCCAAAATTTCGTGACTAAAATTTGGAAAATCCGATGATCCCAAAATTTTAAATGCGCTAATTTTCAAAAGTACCAAATGCTAACTCCTGAAATTTAAAATATATGAAATTCACAAAATTTCATAATCTAAAAATAAATATCTCAATTTCAAGTCCCAAAGTTTAAAATTCACAAAAATTCAAATTCTCGCAATTTCAAAAATCCCAAAAATTAAAATTCTCAAAATTTCAAAAATATAAATCTCAAACCTCCGATTTCAAAGATCCTAAATTTCCCAAAAATTCTCAAAAACCACAAATCTCGTACGCCCAAAGTTTCAAATTCCCCTACTTTAAACAATCCCAAAATATCACATGCTCAAAATTATCAAAAATCCGTAAATCTAATTCCAGCAATCTCATATTCACATTTCAAATATCAACATTTATAAAAATTTCAAAAATCCCAAAATCTAGACTTCCGCTAATATCGAAAATCTTAAATCTCAAATTTTCGAATTTTCTGAACATCTCAAATTGTTAAAAATTTCGAGAAATCTAAAATCTTTATCAAAAATTTTCAACATTCTAAAAATCTCAAATGTTATAAAGATCTAAAAATCTCAAATTCCCGAAATTTCAAAGGTCCTAAAGTTTAAAACGCACCAAAAATCAAATTACCAGTAATTAAAAAATCCCAAAATCTGAAATATCCCAAAATCTCAAATACCCAAAACTTCCAAATTCAGAAGACGTTGTAAGCCCAAAATTTCAAATTCCCTTACTTTAAACAATCCCAAAATCCAACTCTAAATTTCAAAAATCCCAAATTCCTAAAATCTTATATACACAAAATTAAAAAAATTCCAAAATATAATTCTGAAACCTCTAAATTCCTAAAATCACAAGACCTCAACCCCAAAATTTCAAATTCCCTTTATATACAATCCCAAAACCTAATTCCCGAAATCTCAAAAATTCAAAATCTGGGATTCCTAAAATCTCATAGAGTCAAAATTTCAGAAATCCAATATTCCAAAATTGGTAATTTCGTTACTTTCCAAAATCCATACAACTTAATCCCAAATTTACAAAAATTTCTAAAATGCTAGAATATTCTAGAATTTCCAATCGGCAAAATCCCAAAGATCTTAAAGGGCTGAAATTTCCACACAAAAATTCTAAACAAAAAAATTAAAAATCTCAAATTCCCGAAATTTATACTTTAAAATTCACAAAAATTAAAATTCTCAAAATTTCAAAAATCCCAAAATCTGAAATTCCAAAAATCTCACTCCCGATAATTCAAATTAAAAAAATCTAAAAATCCACATATTCCCAATATTATCGAAAATTCCCTAATTTCAAATTATCAACATTTTAAGAAAAAAATTAAATATCCTACCCTAAAATTTCCAACATTCTAAAAATTTTCAATATGAAAAAGATTAAAAAATCTCAAATTCCCGAAATTTCGTTACAAAGTTTTATTAAAATTGACAAAAATTCTAACTCTCGCGATTTTTAAAAATCCCAAAAACTCTCAGAATTTCAAAAATATAATTCCAAAGCCTCTAATTTCAAAGATCCTAAATTCCCAAAGTCTCAATTACCCAAAAATTTAAAAAAATCACAAGATCGATTGTGTACATTTTTAGTAAAGCTCTACATGGTCGCTCGTTTAAGTTGCAAGTTTTCACATCTTTTTCTGACTACCTATCCGAACGCTCTTTTTTTTAATTTTCCAGAATTAAAAAAAATTTTTTTGTAGGTAGGTATTTCAGCTTTTCTTTAGATGTTTTAGTATTTTTTTAGAATTTCTTACATTTTCTAAAATTGTTGGGATATTTCAGATTTTTTAGAATTTCTTAATTTTTTAGCGGCATTGCTATGCGAAAAAACAACCTCGTGGGCTTGTCGCATTTTCGTAAAAATAGCGCCCAGACTGCGGACCCACCTCCGTTTTTCTCAACATGGACCCGCCCGTCAGTTTGAAGTTTAATTTTTTTATTAAAATGGCGGAAAATTTTCATTTTCTGGAATAGACGCCTTTTCACGGTGTCAAAAGGCTCCCGACGCGTGCGGATCAAAATTTTAGAAAGGTAAAGACCCGTCACGGACGTTTCCGAGCTCTATTTAACTCAGAATCGCCAAAAAACGACAGGGCTTTTTTTTGCATGTTTAATGGCGAAGAAATGAACAAATCAAATTTTGCCCGTGTGAATGTCGCCTCAACTTTTCACGGAGAACTGGATTCCGTCAAGAAACGTGACGTGCGACCTTCACGCAAGTCTTACCATTACCACTGCTTAACATAGGGACTATATTTGAATGTCACTTTATATACAGGGTGTAATGATAAAGTTGACAATTTTATACTGAAAAATTATTTATTTTATGTACATTAGGAAAATGTGGTTCATGTTTTTACAATAAGTGCTTAGTTATCAGTTATCACGATGGCAAAAGACGAAAGAACTAATTTTATTATCAATAATACTATCAATTTAGTTCTATCTTTCTTTCTTTAACAAAAAAAAATAAAACGGATTACAAAGGTACCAACTAAAAACAAAAAAAAATCACATTTTTCACTTGGAAATCCTTAAAAAAATGAGTTTTGTACTTAACCCTAAATACAATTTAAAAAAAAAATCACTACGTCCAATAAATATGTTTAAAAACAGTTCCGCGACATATAAAAATGAACAAAGTTCCCCCCACCCCCTTTTTTTTTTGTGTGGGAACTCTCCGATCGCGAACGATTATGTATTTGGTTGACTATTTCAGTTCTCCAGAATTGCAATACAGTCTCTTCGTTTAACAGCACTGTCGTCACTGATCTGAATAAAATTAATCGGCGTACACGATGTAGGGTTGATCGACGTCCGCGACCTCGACCTGCACGAACTGCGGCTGAAGCATTTGCATTGTGTTGCTGTTGGAACGGCCCATCGAGTTTCTGGATCTGGGGAAGAGGGAGACGGTTTAGAGAAGTTTAAAAAGAAAAAACGTCGCGTACTCACTTGGCCTTTGCGTGTGTTAATATGTGACTCTTGAGATTTGTGGATTGGGCGAATTTCTTGTTGCATCCGTCGAACGGACAGACGTAAGGCCGGTCGCCTGTGTGAATGCGGACATGTGTTCTGAAATTTAAAAAATTGTGTGAGGATGAGTCGCAAATTATTGCAGGAAGCAGCAAAAATAAAGAGTGAATAATCTTTTCAAAAAGGCCCCCCCTCCACCCCCCGTAGCTTTGGTAAAATTGGCGATATCGATTTCGGTGTACAAATATAAATTAATTGAATCGTATTTTCCTAGCACAACTGGTTTAACTGGAAATGACTAAATTTCACAATTTAAATGGTACACCCTGTACATTTTTTGATTCTACAAACAATTTTACACTTAAAATGGTAAAATAAAAATTTTAAATTGAACACCTTGTATATTTTATTCTAAAAAGATAGCATTCCCTTTTCAAATCTTTTTGAATTCCTTTTTTAATCACTTGAATCTTTTTTTAATATCATTCCCAGTGTGATATTTTTGAATAGTGTATTTAATATGTTATCTTTTTAGATTAAAATATACCGGGTGTTCCATTTCAAAAACGGTGTATACTCACACAGCAGATTATTCAACAATCATTATAAACAAACTTTTATAAGAAACATTTTTCTGAACTAAAAAAATATAGTCATTCCAAAATATACAATTTTTTGAGTTTCCCCTGTATCTCTTAAGCAAGCGAATATTTTCAATTCTGGTTTTACCATTTTAAGTTTGACCCAAGAGCCTACATTACTTTTTTGTGATAGCAGCAACAATTACCCTGTATAATCAGTGTCGAAAATGAGACACCCTGTACAGGGCGCACATGGTTTACACACACGTATACCACAAGAACAATCAAAAGTGACAATTTCAATATGACGCCACCAGGGGATGAGATTAAAACTAAGAAAAAGAAAGTGATTCAAACAAACAAAAATTAAAAAAAGGTTCAAATGATTGAAAAAAAATTCAAACAGATTTTTGAATTTTTCAAAACATCGTTTTGAATTTTTTTGAACCAATATTACATTGTAACGTAAAATCAGCAGAATACATTTAACCCTACCCATCTAACATCTTACCATTGTCAATTTCACAATGACCCTATAATTATGTTCTTAGATGAAGAGAAATGTTTATTACAAAAGTTTGTTTATAATGATTGTTGAATAATCTGCTGTTTTCAAATTGAGTATACAAAGTCAAGTAAAAAAAATTATCGGACCTAACCTCATTTTTTAAATAAAGAACTGTGTATATTAATCTAAAGAAAGAGAAATGATTCGCAAAAAATTAAAAAAAAGGGTTCAAGATTCAAAAAAATTTCAAAAAGGCAACATTTTTGTAAATGGAACACACTGTATATTTTAATCTAAATTTATTAAATTCAAAAATATAGCACAGTAAGAGTCATATTAAAATATTCAATTCAAAAAAAATGTCAAAACGATTTTTTAATTTTTTAAAATATTGTTTTGAATCTTTTTGAGCCACTTTACTGTAACATGGTTGTGATCCGGAGTACGTTTAACCCTGCCCATCTTACAATTGTCAATTTCACAATGACCCTATATGTTCTTTGTTAAAAGAGGTACAGAAAAATGCTTATTACAAGTCTCTTTATTATTGTCGAATAATCTGCTGTTTTCAGAAGAAGTAGAGATCAGGTAAATTCTCTTTTCAAAAATAAGAACACACTAAATATGATAATTAAAAAAGGTTCAAGTGATTTAAAAAAATTCAAAAAATTTCAAAAAGGTTCGAATGAAAAATTTCAAACAGATTTTTTTAAATGTTTTGAATAATAATTTTCGAGAACGGGAAGCTTGGATCTTCTTTTTTACTGAACAGACCCAGGTACTATGTTCTCATCCAACACGATTTAGGCCTTCCCCACTGCAGAATAACCTTAAACAGAAGAAAATTAAGAACGTATTACCGGGGGGGTCTGGGGGGGGTATTGAGTTTTGGGATTTTGGAATTTGTTTCAATTTGTGAAATTAGATTTTGGAACATGCGTATTTTTGAATATTGGGGAAATTTTCAGATTACGGGGTCTTGGGATTACAGAAATTTTGGAAATTTTTCATTTTGGGGGTTTTGAAAATCTGTTCAGAATTTTCAGATTTCTGGAATCTTGAGATGTTCTAAGCTTTCTTTGGAGTATGAGATAGGATTTTTCAAATTTTGGGAAATTTTGTTTTTAAAAATTTAATATTTTGAGATTTTGGTAATTTGAGATTTTGGATTATATGCGAATTTCAGATTTTGGGAATTTATGGTCTTCGAAATTTAGGCTTCAGAAATATATTTATTTGAGATTTTGGAATTCTTGAACTTTTAAGAAAATGAATTTTTGTGAATTATAAACTATAGGGCCCTTAGAATGTTGGAAATTTACAGGTTTCGGAATTATATTTTTGGAATTCGAGATTTTGGGATTTTTGAAATTTCGAGAATTTGAGATTTTGGATTATATGCGAATTTGAGATTTTGGGAATTTGTCTTCGAAATTTAGATTTCAGAAATATATTTTTTTGAGATTTTGGAATTCTTGAAATTTTAAGAAATTGAATTTTAGTGAATTTTAAACTATAGAGCCCTTAAGAATGTTGAAAATTTAGAGGTTTTGGAATTATATTTTTGGAATTCGAGATTTTGGGATTTTTGAAATTTCGGGAATTTGAGATTTTGGATTATATGCGAATTTGAGATTTTGGGAATTTGTCTTCGAAATTTAGGGTTCAGAAATATTTTTGAGATTTTGGAATTGAAATTTTAAGAAATTGAATTTTAGTAAATTTTAAACTATAGGGCCCTTAGAATGTTGGAAATTTAGAGGTTTCGGAATTATATTTTTGGAATTCGAGATTTTGGGATTTTTGAAATTTCGGGAATTTGAGATTTTGGATTATATGCGAATTTGAGATTTTGGGAATTTGTCTTCGAAATTTAGGTTTCAGAAATATTTTTGAGATTTTGGAATTCTTGAAATTTTAAGAAATTGAATTTTAGTGAATTTTAAACTATAGAGCCCTTAAGAATGTTGAAAATTTAGAGGTTTTGGAATTATATTTTTGGAATTCGAGATTTTGGGATTTTTGAAATTTCGGGAATTTGAGATTTTGGATTATATGCGAATTTGAGATTTTGGGAATTTGTCTTCGAAATTTAGGGTTCAGAAATATTTTTGAGATTTTGGAATTGAAATTTTAAGAAATTGAATTTTAGTAAATTTTAAACTATAGGGCCCTTAGAATGTTGGAAATTTAGAGGTTTCGGAATTATATTTTTGGAATTCGAGATTTTGGGATTTTTGAAATTTCGGGAATTTGAGATTTTGGATTATATGCGAATTTGAGAGTTTGGGAATTTATGGTCTTCGAAACTTAGGTTTCAGAAATATATTTTTTTGAGATTTTGGAATTCTTGAAATTTTAGAAAATTGAATTTTTGTGAATTTTAATCTATAGGGCCCTTATAATGTTGGAAATTTAGAAGTTTTGGAATAATATTTTGGGAATTCGAGGCTTTGGGATTTTTGAAATTTTGGAAATTTGAGATTTTGGATTATATGCGAATTTGAGATTTTGGGAATTTGTCTTCGAAATTTAGGTTTCAGAAATAAAATTTTTTTAAGATTTTGGAATTCTTGAAATTTTAGAAAATCGAATTTTTGTGAATTATAAAATATAGGGCCCTTAGAATGTTGGAAATTTTAGATTTCAGAATTCTCGAAATTTTGACAGTCTGGCATTTATGAAATTTCGGGAATTATATTTTGGGATTTTTATATTAATTTTTGTTTATAGTAAGGGAATTTGAAATTTTAGGCTAATGAGATCTTGTAATTTTTTTAATTTTGGGTAATTGAGATTTTGGGAATTTAAGATCTTTGAAATGAGAAGCTTTGGAATTATATTTTTGAAATTCTGGGAGTTTGAGGCGCGCGTGTCGCGTCTCCTCGAGACGAGTCGGGCCCGCGTGGCGAAAACCGCGCGACGTCCGACGACCCGCATCGACTGCAGCGCGCGAGATGCTCGGGATAATCGCTTGCGGTCGACGTGTCGACGACTGAGTTTTTGGGATTTTTGAAATTGTGAGAGAATTTTTGTCAATTTTAATAAAACTTTGTGACGAAATTTCGGGAATTTGAAATTTTTTATTCATATTGGAAATTTTTATTGTTGCAAATTTCAGGGTAGATTTTAGAATTCTAAAATGTTGACAATTTGAGGAATATGGGGATTCTTACATTTTGCGATTTTTGAAATTTTGACAATTTTAATTTTTTAGAATTTTAAAGCACAGGACCGTTGAAATTTCGGGAATTTGAGATTTTCAATTTTTTTATTTTTTGGAATTTTTGAATTCTTAAAATTTTGATAATTTGAGATTCTTGAAATTTTGCAAACTTGTGGTTATCGCATTATCGATGTATATATTGGGAATTCTAGATTTTTCTATCATTCTTGAAAATTTTAGATTTTGAAATTTTGTAAATTTGGGATGTTTTGAATCTTTTTGTAACACTATCCCTCTTGCAATTGTCAATTTCACAATGACCCTATATGTTCTTACGTCTTAGTTAAGAGATACAGAAAAATCTTTATAATGATTGTTGAATAATCTGCAGTTTTCAAAATAAGTATACGGAGTCAGGTAAAGAAAGTGCCCGGATGTAAACTCACTTTTTTTAAAAGGAACACCCGGTATATTTTAATCCAAAAAATAATCATTTGAACTTTTTTTTGAATTTTTTGAATAAATAAGAAGCTTGGCTCTGCGCAATCTATGTTTTTTTAACACACGCGCAACAAATAATGGCCCCAGATAATTACCATGGCTGCCAACATAGTGTAATTTTTAGGGGAATTTTTAGGAAAAAAATTCACCTTATCTTGAGAACGAAAAGAGACAGTGATGTCAAATCTTCACCAATCGATTTCTACGAGTTCAAGGATCAGTGCTATTGAATATGGGCCATATTCGACTGTTATTTCCCAAAAACTTACAAGCGGGGGGTCTATTTGGCCCCTTGTGGACAACTCAAAAAATCAAAAAAGCAACAAATTGGTATGATACCTACCTCAGACGTAGTATTAACTTACCGTAAATTAAAATCGAGACTAAACCGCTTGCCGCATCCTTCGAACGTGCACTGAAAGGGCTTCTCGCCCGTATGAACGAGCTGATGTCGTTTCAATTTGCTCGACTCGACGAAGGCCTTTCCGCATTCGGCGCAGACGTGCACTCGCGGCCCGTGCGTGTGCAGGTGCTTGCGCATCGCCGAATTATCGCGAAACATCTTCGTGCAGCCCTTGTGCGGGCACGCTGAAAAGACGCCGATATAGTGGAATCGTGCGCCGCTTCGACGGGCCAAAGCTTACCGATCGTCCTGTCGACCGAATCCTGATTCGGACGTCGAACCCGAGGACTCTTCAGGCCCGGCCGTGCGAATTCGGCGAGCTGTTTCGGATCGGAGAGGTCCAGGCCGGGTATGCCGTCGGCTGGGATTTTCTTGCCGGTCATGTACTCGGTGTAGTCGGGGTCCGGTTCCGGATTCGAACCTTCATCTGCAATTTATGGGAGATTAGGCAACGCGGCGTGCGACAACAGCGCGTTTAAAGCACTGCAAAATTGATTTTGAGCCTCCTACGCCGTAAAACGATCACACTTTTACACCTCAGCATTACTGCGATTATTGATTGGGTTTTTAATTGCAACTTTCTAGGGCGATTGTTTATTATTATGACATGCACGGCGGCCATTGAATCGGCCATAGATAAATTCGGAGCCATTTAATAAAATGGCAGATTTTACTTAGTAATGGCGCTGTGCACTGAAAACGTTTGCGGTTACTTGCTTAAAATTCGCGAAAAAGTTAGATTATAAACGGAGTTTTGCTATTCTACGTGTTGTGCTAGAAGTAGACTCACCATCGCTTGCACCCGACGCCCACATCGTCACCGAAAATTCACCCTCCATGGTTTTAATTTGCACTTGCTTCTGTTCCCATTTTCGGGGCTTATTTTCCATCGGCATTTCACCGCATAGCATCGCCTCGTTTTTGATTAGAAGACTGCGAGTTTTTAATGTGTTTGGCTTCTTGCGTTTAACGGAAGGACCGGGCGAAGTCTCTACGTAAATTTCGGTTGTGTCGGGAATAGGCACGTCGTAAAGGTTAAGGGGATCGCCAGATTCGTCGATTATTTCTTCCTGCGGCTCCAGGATAATGTCTCGGCCTTCTAGGGATTGCATCGGAATCATCGGCTCGCCGCATTCAACTATAGTTTCGACAGTGTCGGGCATATCCACTGGTATTGCTTCGATTTCAACGCACTCTTGAATGTCGGGTTGTATTTCCACTTCGCACATTATTGTTTGGTCCGCCATTATTTTAGGGTTAAATTTATTGTTTATAAAAGATGGTCGCGCAATATGGCGGTGAAAAATGTCCGCTGATAACTACAAATGGCGGAGGTATCACTTCGTCGTTCACTTGCGTCAGCAGACTAAAATTGTAAATAACCTTCATTAGGATTTCTCTTTCTAATGCCAGCTACTCGAATTAGGCTATCTCCGTCGCGCTAGGCACCGCGCGACATCTATGATTAATACACGGCACTTCATATTTAAATTTTTATTAACATATTTAGACATAAAAAAAATTAAGTATACACCAATATCCCCGATACAATAATTCTGGCGATTAATCATGATGAATGAACGTTAAAATTAGCGGCGTTAAACACCCGACGACCAATATCAGCAGTTCCAAATTCTGCAAGCTCCTTTCGCTTTGCGCGATCTTCACGCCGGCCTCGGCGTTCTGCACGCGCGTATAGCTATGGTCGTGTCCTTTCTGCGTGAGCTCGGCCAGTACGTGAACGGTGGCGACGTAGAGAAACGTGCCGGCCGAGAATAGCATCGCGATCCCGGTCCCGTTCACCGAGCTGAACCGCTCCTTTTGCTCTTGCCCGATTCCGAAGTACGTGACGAGCGCCAGCACCGGGGCCGCAAGCGAAAAGATGAGCAGGTGTTTTCGTATCCTCTGCCTGAAAAGCGTTACGTGTAGACCGTGCGATTACGCATCCGATGTTACCTCTCAATCCCTTCGTGCAGCAGAAACGTAACCAGCCCAAAAGCGGCGGGCGCCTTATGCAACATTATTGCTAGGAATACGATAATTTCGACGTCGGTGTGACTAGTGGTGGCGGCCGCACCGAGCGCAACACCGTCTGCGGCGGCGTGCACGACGAGCCCCACAGTAGCCGTGACATTGCGCTCGGCCGGATTCAGAGATTCGTTCCTGCTCTGCGAGACCTACAGACAAAGTAACAGTAATGCGTCCGCCCGTTAATTCAAGTATTTAACTTGTTCGACGAGCAGCATGAAGACAAAGCCTAAAACTAAACTAAAACCGATCACGGAGAACGGATCGCCGTGCTTATGATTTACGGCGGCACTGTCGTTGACCTCCTTAGGATGCGTGACGCTCGTCAACGATCGTACGCCTTCCGGAATGATAACTGCCAGGGCGGTTCCGACTAGCAACCCCGAACCGAATACGGTCACCTTTTTCAGTTTACTCTGTAAATGAGAAAAGCGGTTGGAACGGCTTGCTCGGTGCCGAGACCGTATTTACCTCAGAGAAGTTAATGAAAAGAGGAATGGAACCTGCCATATAGGAACCTATTAGCATTACGACTGCTAAAGATATGAGCATAAAGGTTTCTTCCATTTTTGTCGATTTTCAAAATGAACTACCTGTTATTTTTGACACAAGAACAACAACGAATTAGAATTACGTTTATTAAATGCATATGTATCACATATTAGAGCGAATTTTTAAGATGTAAATTTCATTTTAACACGTAAGAATGTAAACAGCTGTCAGATTTGACATTACATAACCTCTAAGGTGGGTTCATTAACAGGATGTGTAGGAAGTGGTTATTCAAATCGAGGCCCTTGTATAGATATGTATAAAGGATGGGGAACTGTACCATTTCAAGTAAATAGCTGCATAGAAAACAACTTCCTGGATTCCTAGTATCGACAAAGATGTATGTGTGCCGGTAAAAGTGCATGTGAAACATTTGGGGCGCATATTTCCTTTTAAAACTTTAGGGGAAGAGAAACTACTGCCTTTGAATTAAACAAAACCATTCCGGGCCTGTTCAAAACATTTTCCTTCCTCAATTATCACATTTGATTTAATTGACCGGTTATTATGAATAATCGCAACATAGCATATACAGTGTGTCCCAGGTAGAACGCACCATAGGGAAAATGCCTCGTGGATCCTTCGCGAAAAACGGTATATAAATAAACTACTGTTCTGTGAAATAAACCACCAAAGTAGTCTATCTCTGTTGTGTTAGTGGTATGATTTTTCATAATATGGAAGAGTACATTACCGAAGTGTAAGATAAGTTGCCTATAATCTACGTTGTCACCATTGAATTGTTGTCACTCGGATCCTTTATAGTTTTGTATTGCCGTCCGTTCGTGGCCGATTGTGTTGAAATTTGGTGTACGGGTATTATGGACATTAAGGACGGACGCTATTGATTTTCAGGAAGCTGGTTCAACAGGAAGAAAAGTTATAGGACTTCGAGTGAATCGGGAACAGGATAAACTGCGGGTTCAATATAATAGAAATCAACATATTTTATTCCCTAGATCATGTATCGAGTTCGGACTTTCGCTAGATTATTCCCTATGACTCTACGAACTCAATATAACTCTTCTCTGTGGTATAGGACTAAAGTTTTAGAACAAAATGTCCCAAAATTATTCTTTACACATGAATTTGAGGTTGTACAAGCTTTAAAACGCATTATTTTGACGGAGCCGGAGATTAGGGCGCCGCCGAAAGGGCGCGGGACATAAGGGCGCCGGACATAAGGGCGCGGGGTCCGGGGACATAAGGGCGCGGGGACAAATGGGCGCGGGATAGAGTATTCTAAACAAAAAAATATTGTAGTCCGTTTGTGTTATTATGTTATATCAACAGTCATTACACAGGGCGTTCAAGATACACAAATATAGATATATAGGTAAATTTAAGCGTAATCGGTTCATCCGTTCTTTTTTAAATGTTTTGTTAAATAAATGGCCGAGAAGTTAAAAAGGCATTGTGAATTTTGGATCTATCAAACCCCAATTTTGGCAGTGCGCCTATCATATTGGTGTCGGCTATCCATATCGAAAACTCGTGAAATTCGATGCATAATTAGCGAAGATGTCAAAATGGTACTGTTTATTCTTTGGTCGATACCTATTGCCAATTCTCAAACTCCTATCTACAAATTTGATAAAGAATCTATTTGCAGAATTACATTGTAATCGGTTGCGCCGTTATTTTTTAAATGGTTGGACGTGAACAAATCGAGCAAGCCTGCGATTTGGGACAAAGCATAACAGTATCGTTTAAGCAACTCGACGCTACAAATATACAAGTAAAAGTGACAAAAGGTGTGACCCAATCTATTGGCATTGCGCATTACATGTTTTTGGTATCTTGAACGCCCTGTGTAATATAACTGTTGGTATAACATATCAACACAAACTAACTACGATATATATTTTTTAGAGAATACTCTATCCCGCGCCCATATGTCCTCGCGCCCTTATGTCCCGCGCTCTTTTGTCCTCGTGCCCTTATGTCTCGCGCCCTAACGGCCGCGCCCTTTCGGCGGCGCCCTAATATCCTAGACCGGAGATCGTTGGGAACAAGATTAAGAACATTATTTCAATGCCCAAGACATGAGTTTGATGTACCGGGTGACCCAATAAGACAGTTCCTCGGCGATATCTCGAGAACCGTTCGACATATGAAGGGGGTAAAAAAATTATTGGGTAAATCGGTCATGAAGAATCGCTGGAAAATATTTTCAAGTTCTAAAAATGACCACCAGAGGGCGTAACCGAAAACCGAACCGAAACCGTTATTCCTTCAGAAATGGAAACGTATTGAGAACCGGAACCCACATTACTTTTTTCGGTTCTTTTCGTTTTTTTTACGGTTCTTAACAGGTTATTGGAAGTTGAAGGACGCGCCGGCAACCACGTCCTGAAAATTGATAAAATATTACTCTATGATTACCATCGGTGGATTATAAATTTTTAATAAGGTGTCGAAATTGAAGGCATTACGGGTGGCGGTGGCGCTAATTAAGCCAACACTTAAAAAAAATAAAAAAAGGAAGGGCGGGGTTTTAGAAAATAAAATTTTGTGTTTTTTATTAATAAATTAAGTGTAAATACATATTTCCCTCTTCCTCCTTTATTCCCCTTGTCGTTATAAATTAGCTACACTGACGATACGTCACGTTTTGGTATTCATGATTTTTTCTTCACACCTATTAATTAACAAATCACGTTGTTGTAATGAATTTTTTGAATGCCATACTTTCTGAAAAACTAGAACCGAAAATAATCGTTATGGACCGAAAAAAATGCGCAGAATCGAACCCTTATTTCTTTTTTAGAACCGAAACCGGACCGGAACCGTATAAATATTTTCGCTTAAATATAAACAGAACCGGAACCGATATTTCATTTCGGTCCGGGTCCCTGCGGAGCATATCGACTAACTTCGAGCATCGATGCCTGAAAATTGATAAAATATATATATTGCCATCGCTGGATTATAAATCGAAATTGAAGGCAGGGCGGGTGGCGGTGGCGGTAATTTAGCCACTACTGTAAATGTAAATAATAAAAATGAGGGGCGAGGTTTTAGAAAATAAAAATAAAAAACAATACTCCATACATAATTTTTTTTACATCAGGTTTTGTGTATTTTTGTGCTTTTTTTATTAATAAATTTAGTTAAATATATATTTCCCTCTTCCTCCTGTATTCTCCTTGTCGTTGTAAATAATTAGCTGTCACGTTTTGGTAGTCATGACTGTTTACTTCTTTTTTATTAATTAACAAATTACGCTGTTATAATGAATTTTTTAAATGCCATATACTTTCTAAAAAACTATAGAACCGAAAAGAACCGTTATGAACTGGAAAAAAATGCGCAGACGACCGAACTGTAATTTTTTTAGAACCGAAACTGGACCGGAACCGTTATAAATATGTTCGTTTAAATATAAACAGAACCGTAACCTACATTTCATTTCGGTCCATTTAGGTCGGGATATAGAATTTGATACACAAAATCAATTAAAAAAATTAGCTTAAAGTATACACTGCCAAATTAACTGCGAAGTTGTTTGTGTCTTCTTATGCTTTCTCTCTTTTCTACTTTCCCTTGTTTATTTTCATAGATCATTTAGTAGGTATGTTTTAAATTTTTATTAATGAAGTTAATATACAACAATCATGTGCAAACACATCCAGAACTTATTTTTACTTATAAATTGTAATTTACGTATTCAATTATTATTTTATGTATGTGGTGGTTAAGTGGAAGAGCAGGGTTAATACGTATGCATTCTTGCATGTCCGTTTTAGTATCTGAACCTTGTATATGCTTTATGTTATTATTATTATCAAGCGAAATTTAGTAAGATACATTATTATTACTAAATGTGGTGGTTAAGTGGAAGAGCAAGGCTAACGTACATTCTTGCATGTCCGTTTAGTGTCTGAAGTTAGCACACAAGATCGTTAATGCATATTATTTTATGATTATTATTATCAATCGGAATTTAATAAGAAATATTCGATATCATTATTATTAAATGTGGTGTAAGAGTGTGTAAGAGCAGCGCTTACGTGCCTTCTTGGATGTCCGTTAATAGTATCCGAACTTCGCATAGAAGGATGGTTCATGCTGTATGTTATTATTATTATCAAGGGCATTTAATAAGACATTATTATTATTAAAATGGCGCATTTTTTAAATTTACTTTTTGAAATAGGTAAGTATCTAACACCGCTTCTGAAACCGAAATTAGGAAAGCAAGAATTTAAAATGCGATGCTTAGTAGGCACTTTTAGCATTATAGAATGGATCTATAAATATGTGGGAACAGTTTTGTGCAAAGCTTACTATGAGTAATTTAAAAGTGTTTTTGAATTTAATTAAATCCCGTTTGGCAAAACTACCAGTCAATAATCTTTTAAATTTATTAAGTAACGGATTGACGGTACGCAAAAATTCGCCCGAAATAGGAGCAACTTTATACAAAGACTTTTTTTAATTAGATATGCCTCCAGTTTGAGCCGTTAGGCATTGGGTGGAACGGTTAACACAAGCAATGTTCGACCAGGACACGAGATGTAGCAATAAAACGGTTCGTCAGTTCATAAAGGAGTAAAGTATGGCCTTAAATATTGCATAATTAATCTCACGACTTTCAACATTAACCGAAATGGTTCCCTTGGCCCTCCCTAAGCTACGCCACTGGCCTCAGCAAACCCAAAGTTCCATTACTTCCGCGCCACTGGTGGTACCTAAACTTATTTTTTTCATAATTTATAAATGAGCTGATACTTCTCACGTATTTTTATTCTTAAATACAAGAGGTAGATAAAATTTGGCTAGAAACGCTACTGTAGTAGGTACTCACATGCTAATTTATTAAACTACAATCAAGACAAAAATCATATGTTGCTTGCAAGTCTTTTATTATTAAACCGATACAATTCAATACTGAACGGATCTATGGCTGATTGACACACGAATTTCTTACCTACCTGTACGTTATGATCTCTCTTGAACCTCATCCACCTTTCATTACTTATTGTAATAAACATCCTGTATACAACATTTCAAAATTTACCTATACTTACATAAAAAGCTAATTAACTGTCTACTTTAGGTACTAAATATAGGGTGCTGTATTAAAAAAATGTAAAGCCCGGTGAATACCTCCAGTGGTCGGCATGTGAGGTACAGCGACAGTCTTACAGATACTGTACCATCAAATTACTATACTATTCGAACAATTTCGTACGATACCTACGAGAAAAATGAATCGATTTAGGTTATTTCGACACACACATGCTTTAAACACACGCTGTAAGAGTACACTACGGACTACTTTTCTGTTTTCCCTCGATGCTTCGATATTCCTGAAGTACTGGTCGGGCTACGATTGGAAATGTGTCGAATCACAGGAATAAGAAAGGCGGTCCAATGGTCCCTTTCATTATCAGGCAGGTTGCATTCCATGAATTATTCGAACAAAGACTCACCCCTTGGGAAAAAACAAAAATCACTGTAGGTACCTACCCGGGGAACTTAATCCAGTCACCTGTGATTAAACAATTGCAATGCAAATGTCGTGTTACAGTTTAAAGCGAAAGGTGGAATTTGCAGACGGGTAAGTGGAATATTTGCACTAATTCGTGTTCCAATTCGAGGATCCTCTACCTACACATTAAATTTGACACTACGAAGTTTTCGTAAACAATTAGCATGCGAATTTCACTTTATTACTGACAGAAACGTTCAAGGCCAATCAATTACACCATTCGATTAACAGCATACGCCTTAAAATACATATGGTTTGCTCTCGAAAGCGATTGTATCCAAGCGACACGTTTTAAGACGCACAAAAACGGGGGCCCCGAAACTTTGCAATTACGCAACTAATTGGGGGGGGTTACGAATGCAATGGTCACTGGAGCACTGCGCTCTCGTTGTCGATTTGCGTTTCGAGACGAGGAAGCGGCCAGGAGAATGCAATAAACGCTTACCCCTCCCGACGGCGGCGCGAGGCTGGCGCAGTCGACATCTGCTCAACCTTAGGACTTTACGAAAGCCCGCCAGAAGCAGCGTAGCTACAATATGTCCGAGCAAGACTTGTAACGTTTATGGCGTTGTTAAAAAAAGTGTGCACATTTTAGTATGATAAGGCTTTGTTTTGGGCGCTAATAATGTTTTCATTATGTAAATACGTGTGATATTGAACGTTAGGCGTTGTGTAGTTTATAGTATAGCGCACCTAAACGTGTACGAGGTAAGGTTCAACGTTGTATGCGTTCACAATCTCGATACGTTTCGGAGTTAAATACACGGCGAAGGCAATATGGCGCAAACTGCATAATTTACGCCACAGACGTGCATTTTTCGCGTATTTGTTAACTCTCGCCCTCGATTTTCGGTTAGTTTAGTTAAAATCCGCCGGATGGCCGGACCGCCATTGTAAATTTGCTTCGCCGTGACTAGTAGTACGACCGTTAAGCTATGGAGGACGAGGAGAACGTTAAAATGCTAGACCATCTGCAGAAGTACGTACCGCACTTAGAAAAGCTCATTTCGCAGCTCAAAGATCCGAAAAAGAAAAATAAGGAGCTGCAGCTTAGCAAACTGGAGGGACTTCTCTCGATGATTACCGATAGAAAAAAGAAGTAAGTTTTGATATTTTACATTAGCGTTTAACGCGTTACGTTTCACGTTTCTGCAGATTGAAATTGGACACGCTTAAAAAGTGCGAGGACGTTATTTTGAAAATCTTACAGAAAGTGGTAAGTAAATCGTTTTATTAGATTAATCGCTGTACGCTATATACAAGGTTGCCACATCTATGCGTCTTGTTCACCGAAATTTCATTGTCTCTTAGTTTTTAACCGATCGAGGCAACAGTGGGCGATGATGGACACGTTTAAAGTTGGCGAAGATTGTTGAATAGAGTCTTTGTTTAACTGAACGTGTAAACAAAGTGTTAAAAGACGTCGTGATAAGCGGGTTACAAGGAACGATCTTGTAACAACCGCGTGACACTGAAGATTGAAGATGTTGCGAAACGTTTCCGTGTACTCGGTGCGTCATAAATTAGGTTGGTAAAGCAACTTGTTGTGAGGCTGGTACTGTCACGACTCAATTAACAGACTAGCTAACATTTATTGAGGAGTTGCCAAAAACATGTCCCAGAGACTACACGAGGTTTAATTTTCAAAGTAAATTGTATATTTGATAAAAATACACTAAGATTTAGTAAGTCTAGCAACTAAATGGTTCCGCTTTTTTTTATTCGACATACGTTACTATTATTTATACCTTACTGTCGCACTTAATATTAAGAAAAACATTTGATACGTATGTGCATCATTGTGCTCTATAGCTATAAATTTTTACAGAACTAGACACGATCACAGAGACAGAGTAATTGCATGAGACAAGATACAAAGATTGTGTTATTGTGGCCGCTTTTTGCAAAATGTTTTTGTCAGAAAGCATGATTAGCACTGGTAGTGGTTAAAACGTCAAATTTCTGCAGAACAAAATGGCGGAAGAGGATACCTATCGACATACTGTGAGTGGTAGGTCGACACGAGTCTCATGCGTCAGTACAGATCAGGATTTCCAATGTGTTTCCAGAGGAAGTGTATTTAAAAAAATTTTATTGGCTATTGCCGTCAGTTCCAAGACCTTGCATCAAAGGAAGTCTGTCGTCCGGGATGTTTCTAAAAATTGTATAGTAGGCCATATTGAATTTTAATAGAACAACCCTTTTGGTTACGGCCCAATAGCTAACCAAAACATACTCCATTTCCAAATTTTCATAAAACAGGCAAAACGCACTTGATTACACGTTGTAGCGTTATGGTCTTGGTGTTGTATGAGTGACTGCCGAAAAAAGTACTCAGTTTTCCGTTAATTCATAATGAGCTGAAATAATGTGTTGTACAATTTTATTATATTAACAATTTATTGCTGTTTTTTTTTACTTTTTGCATAAACACTACATGGATTTTGTCAAAATAGATGTCGTTCATCGATTACAGCAACATTTCCGAAGGTTTTGCTACAACTGCAATTATTTTTTGTAAAATCCCATAGTTACACTAACATATTCAAGGTAACAAATATACGACGATATATGGGAACCACACGGTTGTTTGGCGAATGTAAAGTGATGTTTGTTGTTATCCATCGGGACTAAAGTGGTGCTATGCTTTAATCTCAAGGTTGCAGCTTATTTCCCGAAAGGAAATGGATGAATGAGGATACTAGTAAAGTGTGGTAACCTCATCTAATTCTACTATACAGGGTGTACGACGTAATGGTTAGGGACATGGAAGGTTTAATGATGCATTGTGTTGTTTTGCCCGAAACCACGCCCACTTAATAAATAAAGTTGAATAACCGAATCTTGGAGTATACCGTTTTCTTTGTGTACTTACATCCTTTCCGAAGGTCGTCCAATTTAATGAAGAGGTCAACTGAATTAGGGACATTCTTGTTTTATCGTAGTACAAATGTACGATACACGGCGTGTCAGAAAACAATGGTTAGTCGTTTTATTGTCTGTATTTCGATTTTTTTGTAAAATTACGAGTGATTGTACCTTGAGCCGATAACCTCAGCGGCCTCGATAAGAATGTTGTTTAAATTCACTCCCGGAACGAAAATAAGTTCGGTTGTGTTATACAGGGTGCGTCGATTCAGTTAATAAATTATTTTGAGTTATGCTTGCTCGGTTAAGATGTGTTTTTTTGCAACTTAAAGCGAAACTGGCAGGTTCTTCATTTAAAGATAATGAAGATTATCAATACCGAATGCGATAATTCCTTTTTCTCCGGCGCAATTAAATTAACAACGAAATAGAAATTTTGATTGTAAATTAGTCTTCGATTAGGTTGGTAGAGCGAATTTGCCTGTGTTGATCAAACAAGCCAAGCAAAGCGGGTCAATTTTAGACATTTTGTTATACAGGGTGTCAGCTGCGGAAAACAAATTTATGTCTATTTTTCTAGTGGGCGCTCAAATATGCATTGAAAATATTCTCGACATTGAAGTCTTTGCAGCGAATGTTAGTTTTGGTAAAAAAATGAGACAGGAGGGACAAGTTTATAGTGAAGATTGAAGTGAGCCGCAAAAAGAGAGCTATGAATCTCCGCTCGCAACATGAAGGAAATTTGTATCGAGCAGTAAAAGGGGGCTGCAACACCAGAAACCACAAAACATAATAATAATGATTATCATTTACTAAAATACAGGGTGATCGAAAAAGATGGACCCGATTTTAATTTTAATCAGCGAAACTGACGTCATAACACAGACAACAGACAGTGATTGAACTGAGCTTGAATTTGCAACTGCGCCATCTTGACCAATTTTTTCTACACTACACAAATTCGGGACTGCGATTGCGATCACATGACTCAGTGGGCGTGGACGGATTATCGTTTAGATATCTGTGGTGCCACAGGGGAGGCCGACATAGAAACCTTTTTCTCTTATTAATATTTAAAATCGGGTCCGCTTTTTTCGATGACCCCGTACATTTTTTTGTGTTCGGATTTCGATGTCTTTTCGCTCGTTACGCTTGTCCCATATCACGTACTTCCGGATCCGCATGTATTACGATGCGTGCAAATATTCGTATTACTAAGAAGTTGATTAAATTCCAACGGTTCCTCCTAATAATAATTTCTGAAAGTATGCCACGAAGTGTTGTTTGCTTTACAGTTTGACAATTTTTAATTAATTGTATCAGGAGCATAGAAGTTCAAATGGTACGATGTGGACCTGCTCAAATCGTCCGATATATCTGATGAAGATCTTATATTGTATCAGGAATGCAGAAGTGCTATTCGAATTATTGTCTTCGAATTCGCGGCCTTTGTCTTCCTGATACTAAATCCTAGCTGAAAAGATTTTATTCTTTTTGAAGTACATCGGTGTAACAGGAGGACAGAAGTCGACTTTAGTTCAAAATCTGGGAATTAACAAATAATGCGTGCATCCCTGCATCACTTCCCACATTTTCAGCTTACGAAATCCATTTTTGTGGGGAATTTTATTTGCTGCCTACTTTTCGAATTTCTGTACGCCTTTACAAATTAAAATCAATTTTTTTTAAACTTCATTGTTTTCGTTTTGTTCGCATGTATTTTTTCGCCATTTTCATCGACAACCACAATACATTTCATTTTCATTAGCGAATAGGTACATGGAGGTTTTAAATTGCCGCCAGATTTATGCTTTCCTAATACCGACCTGGTACTAAAAAATGACTATCAAAGAATTTTATTGGAAAGAAGAAGGCATTGCTATGATGATGTGGATTCTTTATGCAGTGTAGCTGTGTCAAGGAGGTAAAATTGTTGAAAGTGTTTTGACACCAAAAAAGACTAGTGTCTCTAATATCGACTAATTGCATCAGGAATACAGAAGTGCAAGGTTTGAATAGACAAAAATCATTAGCCGTACCAAAGAAAAAAGATCTCACTTAGTCTAGCAAAATGCGAGTATCGCACAAAGCAGGAACAGGAGCACAATGAAGTGCAAGATGTTCGTGAAAGAATGTCTACGCACCGAAGTGCAGAAAGCGGTTGAATTGGTCAACAGTATCAGGAGCACAGAAGTGTTAATTGCATCGAATGATACCAGAAATGAAATTAATTTATGTGTTGATCGGATTGAAGCGAAAAAGAGGTATTTGTATTAGGAGGCGAGAATGCACTTGTATCAGGAGTTAGTGGAAGAGCTGCAAATGAGTATCGTAGTAACTAGTTATAGACATGAATTAGTTATACCAGGAGCGTAGAATTGCAATTGCTTGTTGTATCAGGAGCCCAGAAGTATTGATTATATTTCACATTTTCTCCTAATACCCAAATTCCCGAATTATTTACAATGCAAATGCAAAGTAGTTCTGAGTAATTTAAGCCGATCTTGTATCTAATATTTGTCTAGTGCAAAATTTTTCATGCTTTAATGACGTGTTTCAATTGAAAAAGGTCACAAAACCGTAATATTTAAGGCTCCCAGCTCTTTCTGGTAGGAGTAGGTAAAATATGTAAATCAGGAGCACAGCTCTACGCGGAATGACAAATAAATGTTGACTGATACACCCCCTCTCATCTTGTGTAATAATATTTTTTCAAACTGCTTGAATTCACAAGCGAGAAATTGTATCAGGAGCACGGAATAGTTTGGATGGGTGTCGGCCGAGTCACTATTGTTTGACGAAATATTGACGTAGTATGTGTAAAATGTAGAAATGTTTTTTGAACTTGAAGTTCTTTTAGAGGAATCGAAACTCGGTGGTAATTAACTGGCTTTAATACGTTTTGTCGGTGTTATCTAGTGAAAAAAACTATTATTTATGAAATAGTAGTTGATAGGTCATTTTATGTTATTTATTAAGAGAATTTTATTTATTGCCCCATGCATTCTCTCAGATGGTTCTTCGAAAGTGTCAAAGGTCATTGGACTGTCCCTGACATGTTGGTCCTTCGAGCCGGATCGGTTCGTGGGTTTATTTTAATTGTAATTATTGGTTACTAACTGATCATGAGCCAATCAAGTGACGACATGGATCGTGTGAGACGCAACAACCAAGGAAAAATGCCGGTCAGGTATGGTGAATGGTTGTGTCCAGGTGACGAGATGAGGTCAAGCGGCGGCAACGAAGGCAATGGTGCTAGCAATTCAGTGCGTGTACAAGTTCCAAGTCAATTGCTGGAAGTGAGACTTCGCAGGCTAGCCAAGCCAGAAGACAAAGGCTGAAGCTTAAGTTAACCTTGAGGAGAAGAGGTTAGCTTCAGAAATAGAAGCCAAAAGAGCACAGCTCGAATTCGAAACAAGGAAGACAGAGAAGCAACTCGAACTTGAGCAGCTTGAGATCGAGGAAAAACAGGAATAACCGAGTGGGTCTGCACCATGCCAAATTATGTCCTAACCACGACATACTGACTAGAATTCACTAACCCCTATGTCTTACCTACCACCAATACAACAAGATGTGAGAGTGCCTGAGTATCATCATGTGTCTATTCACACGCAGTCCATGTCTTCTCTGGAGATCCAGCAGAGTGACCTGGTGCATTGAGCGGTTTAGACTTATTGTGGTTGGTGCAGGTGGAACGCTTGCGTGTACTAAAGGATCACTCAAAAGACTGCGTGAAGGATCTACTCTTCACAAGTACAAATGCAGATGTGGTCTTGAGGCATTAGAGAAAAGGTGTGGAAGACCAGAATTCATCATATCCATGTTTTTGGACAATTTGAGGAAGCTCCACTCACTTCATTCTTTGAATTTGCGAATTCCATTAATGGCTTCATGAGGATGACTGAAAATTTGAACCAAAAGGCGAGAGGGTCAAAGGAAGACAAGCGTGTGGGGCACATCATGGAGTTAACCACGAGGAGATATGAAATGAAAACGTTTGTCTTTTTGAAATGTTTCAATCTTCTGGAGAAAAGATTCGAGAAAGTCCAGGCGTTTGGTAAGCTCTACCGAGACAAGAATGACTTTGGAGTCTTCAATCCCGAAAAACCACTTTGGATGCGGCCAGGTCCTGATTTTCTGGACACTTGCAGGGATTTTGATGCGATTCAAGGAGAGAAGAGTTGCCTTCACGGGAGATGTTCTACCACTTCCTCATTCAAGACAAAGACAGAGATGCGCAAAGGTTCCTCTGGAGGAAAGACAAATCATCTCACTCCATGGGCGATTATTTGGATTGTGAGGATGAGGAGGAGGCGGCTGTGAGGCTTCTGGGTGACGTCATCAAAGAATTGAGATTTGCTTCCAAACTCTAAAGGTTATGGATGCCGTTCCTGAAAACTGGAGGTGACGAGACTCAAGTCGAGAGGGTACTTGGATTATTTTGGAAACCAGAGAAGGATGCATTCACATTCTCACCGAAGTTCAGCAAGATACCTGAGGATGTAGGGGATGAGAAACGAATGCTAACCAAGAAGGAACTGTCGAGTGCCGTCATGTTACACTTTTGGCTTTGTGTGGCAGTTCGTGGTCAAGGGGAAATTGGTACTTCAGGAGTTGGATGGGATGAACCTATGCTACAGTGAGCCTCATGGTGGTTACTGTGGTTAGAGTTGAGTTCCCCTCATCCCCAACAAGTCTGTGATGTTGTTGGATTGTTACGTGTACAAGATGGCGGATCTGTTCATGTATGATTGACAATACCACGCTTGGTTCTTCAAGGAGCCGGAATGGCAAATGGAGTTAACTCTACCCATTTTTGAACTGTACTTAGTTGACTGAAGTCGCGTGGGAGAGATACTCAAGCAAAGTTCTTCCAAGAATTGCCATTGGGGACTTTTGAGAATGTTGATGGTCGGATGCCAAATGATTTTAGATGGGTGGAGGGCCCATCATTTTTGTATCATGGAGAAAATAGGTGACCAAAGCAACCTATGGTCATTTCTAACTCAGGGGTGAAAAAGGAAGTGGCCATAGAGAGGTGAAGTTCCTCCGTTAAACTTAAGATCAGAAGGTTCTAAGAGTATATTTGGTGCTTGAGGACTATGAGATATAGTAAGAGATTCTTAGTACAGAGTTTAAACCTCAGGGTTTGAGAAGGTCCGAGCTTTGGCTGGTGAGGAATGTTCGCTGACGAAAAATCTAGTCCTCTTCGTCAGCCTTGTTTGGACGATGTTCAGAGTTCAAGGTCGTTTATCTGACATCGGGAACGAGGTGAATTTCCCGATGAGACTGGAGACACCCTCTGGCACAACTCATACTTTCATCCCATCACCGGAGTGCAGCGTCTTCTCAATGATTTGCGTTTAAAGTGTTGGGTACTCCGGGCGCATTGGAGCCTCTGAGTGGATTTTCGCCCATTCACTTAACAGGAGTCGATTATTTTGGACCATTGCATGTACCCCACTGTGGAAAGGGGAATGGTCACCCTTAGGAGGCTTGTTTACATGCGTTTCCCTATTCCTTTGGAGATGGCTGACAGTCTGGATACCGACCCCGCAATCATGGCGAGAGGAGGTGCATCCAAGAAGATTATGGGTGACAAAGGAGTTTCGGATGAACGCAAGAAAGCTCTTCTTGAGTTGGATAAGGACAGGATCTTGCGTGCCACATGGGTGCCACTGTGAAATGAGCACTTTGGGCCGTTCGTCATGAAGTGGCACCAAGCGAGGAAGTACTGAAAACCGTAATAGCGAAAGTGCAGCACTAACACATGTATCGGACAACCCTGGAGATTTGCAGAGCCAGAGAAATTTGTAAATAGTGATATGAAGAGAGCTCATCAGTGGCGTCGAGCTCAACTTCTGGCTGGGTATCGAGAGGGGGGGCTATTATTATGAAATAGTAGTTGGTTGTCATTAGAACAAACGAGTGTTATTTATTGTACAGGGTGGCCAAATAAGAATGCGAGGTACTATATCTGGGAACCTGTCCATCGTAGAGGCTTACGGTAAAAAAGTTATTACTAAAACGGCCACGAGAAAAACCTGGAAAATATTTTTAAGTTTCTGAAATGACCGCTAGGGGGCGTAACTGCAATCTGGAATCTAAAAAGGGATGTTTCTGTGAATTCCGTTATATTAGCCTAACAAAAAATGGCCGGTCTTTGAAGACGACGATAATCGAAACCTTTTTTGTTTGACAATTTTACCTGTATCTCTAAAAATGAAGTGGTGGGGGGTATTCAAAGGTTTCCGTAAAGAACACCCTGTATCTTCGAAACGGCTGAGCCGATTTTAACACACTCGGGTTAATTGAAAAGAGTTATTCTTCGGCTACAAATATTGAAGTTTTGTTAGTTTCACATATCGCCGCTTGAGGGTTTTTTTCGACATTCCGACAGAAATGGTTAATTTTCTCAAAAAAATTAAATGAGTTGGTTTGATTTTTTTTCATGAAAAAGTAGCTAAATGTTGCCTAAACAACCTCGCGAAAACCGCATCTCGATATCTTGATCCTAACTTAAAATTCAGGTAAAAAAAAATGTTATACCCTCAAAATTTTATTTTTTTAAGCTAATTTTTCCTGGATTATTTTTGTTATATTATTTGTGGCCCTACGGTGGATCGATTTAAGAAAGGCAGCTTTTAACTTTATGAAAGCATCCAGTTAGGTACAGACAGAAAGAACAATAAAAACGAAAAAAAAAGATTAACGATTGAAAACAGAAAAAAAAAGAAAAAGAAAGGGAACAAGCGTAATTATTGTTATCGAACCAATGCATTTAATTTTTTTGAGAAAATTAACCATTTCTGTCGGAGTGTCGAAAAAAGCCCTCAAGCGGTGATATGTGAAACTAACAAAACTTCAAATAGTATATTTGTAGCTGAAGAATAGCTCCTTTGAACTAACCCGAGTTTGTTAAAATCGGCTCAGCCGTTTCGAAGATACAGGGTGTTCTTTACGGAAACCTTTGAATACCCCCCACCACTTCATTTTTAGAGATACAGGAAAAATTGTCAAACAAAAAAGGTGCAGATTATCGTCGTCTTCAAAGACCGGACATTTTTTGTTAGGTTAATATAGCAGAATTCACAGAAAGATAACTTTTTTAGATTCCAGTAGTCACTAGATATAGAAAGTACGGCAATCATCCGCCATTTTTGGGCAAATTTGCTGCCAACTTAAAAAATTGACAAAATCTGAATAGCTGTCATTTTTTAGCGCATTTTTGCAAAAAATTTTTTTTGTAAAAAGTAGCTTTTAATCTCACTTTGGCTGGCTGGCTGGCTGGCTGGCTGGCTGGTTGGCTGGCTGGCTGGCTGGCTGGATGGCTGGCTGGCTGGCTGGCTGGCAGCAAATGTGGGCGCGTAGAGGAACTCTTGTAGAAAGGCAACGGGTGTACGTGTATCTACAGGGCCGTGAAATTTGTCAACCTTAGGGACATGGCTACATGATGTGGGGTTGGCGACATCTGGGCGTCATCCTCGAGCGTAGTATACTAACGTGAAGGTTTTTCAGTTTTTTTCCTATCTTCTACTACAGTTTTGGTCCGATTCTTTTGAAATTGGTGTCGTCGGAAAGATGTTGTAAACGCGCACAACTCCTGCGTGGCGGAATTTTGTTTTTTGTCATAGGGGCGAAATTAACGACCTTTTGCGAGGCGTGCGCGCGCGTCTTCGAGATGTAGTCAACTTCGGGCGCCTTTTACTTTCCGTTGCGAACTCACGCGGTTTAACGTTTCGTAAATCTCGAATCGCTGTCTCTCTTTCTCGTGTCGCCAATAGAAGTGAATTGCGAGTGAACGGGACGTCGGAAGTGGGTACCGTAAAAGAGAATGTGGTAGCCCCCGACACGATCTTCCTGATGGTGGAGTCAAATCTTCAAACGCGAATTGCGGGTGAACGGAACGTCGGAAGTGGGTACCGTCAAAGGGAATGTGGTAGCCCCCGACACGATCTTCCTGATGGTGGAGTCAAATCTTCAAACGCGAATTGCGGGTGAACGGGAAGTCGGAAGTGGGTACCGTAAAAGGGAATGTGGTAGCCCGCGACACGATCTCACTGATGGTGGAGTCAAATCTTCAATCGCGAATTGCGGGTGAACGGGACGTCGGAAGGGGTACCGTCAACGGGAATGTGGTAGCCCCCGACACGATCTTCCTGATGGTGGAGTCAAATCTTCAAACGCGAATTGCTGGTGAACGGGACGTCGGAAGGAGGTACCGTCAAAGGGAATGTGGTAGCCCCCGACACGATCTTCAAATCTTCAAACGCGAATTGCGGGTGAACGGGACGTCGGAAGGAGGTACCGTCAAAGGGAATGTGGTAGCCCGCGACACGATCTTCCTGATGGTGGAGTCAAATCTTCAATCGCGAATTGCGGGTGAACGGGACGTCGGAAGGGGGTACCGTCAAAGGGAATGTGGTAGCCCCCGACACGATCTTCCTGATGGTGGAGTCAAATCTTCAAACGCGAATTGCGGGTGAACGGGACGTCGGAAGTGGGTACCGTAAAAGGGAATGTGGTAGCCCGCGACACGATCTCACTGATGGTGGAGTCAAATCTTCAAACGCGAATTGCTGGTGAACGGGACGTCGGAAGGAGGTACCGTCAAAGGGAATGTGGTAGCCCCCGACACGATCTTCCTGATGGTGGAGTCAAATCTTCAAACGCGAATTGCGGGTGAACGGGACGTCGGAAGTGGGTACCGTAAAAGGGAATGTGGTAGCCCGCGACACGATCTCACTGATGGTGGTGTCAAATCTTCAATCGCGAATTGCGGGCGAACGGGACGTCGGAAGGGGGTACCGTCAAAGGAAATGTGGTAGCCCCCGACACGATCTTCCTGATGGTGGAGTCAAATCTTCAAACGCGAATTGCGGGTGAACCGAACGTCGGAAGTGGGTACCGTCAAAGGGAATGTGGTAGCCCCCGACACGATCTTCCTGATGGTGGAGTCAAATCTTTAAAAGCGAATTGCGGGTGCACGAGGAAAGTGGGAAGCGGTTAGTGAATGTAGTAGCCTTCGACAAGATCTGTTATTGATGGTTGAATCGAAAGTGGCTAATAGAATACTGATCTGCCACACAAAAATGCGCTGAAGTCCCTTCGATCTCAAACGAGGACTTTGATAATTTTCTGAGATACGGGATGAAAACTAATAGTTTGACTGTTTCTTTTAGATATTTTTCCGTAGAGTAAAAAAATTCTTCGAACCAGCGTTTCTGGGATTTGATCCAATGTTGGCATTTGTTCAATGCAACAACCTATATATGTCTTAACGTCAATTATTTGCATTTCCTGATTACAGAATGTATCACAACCTATATACAATACAATAAAAATACAAAATCTCCATGACCATGACCAACTTTTGGTCAAATCCCAGAAACGGTGGTCTAAACGTATACTTAGATTGATTCTGTTTGTGGTATTAAAGGTTTCACAAAATAGTGGTACAGATACGGGGTCGCGAAAACCGCAAGTCTGTATCTTTAAAATCATCTGAGATACATAGTAGTCTCAACCAAAATATGACACTCGGCACATTATAGGGATTCGAAATCCTTTGTAATGACAATGTCTATAAACCTAGAAAAAGTATTTCTTGTGTTCATTATGACTTCGCGTTCTTGTTGTATAGATAACTATTTCGATTTTCAATCTATTTTTTAGGAAGCTATTGCACTTATCTTTGAAAAAAAATTGGAAAATCTAGGGATTAACGCGGTACTATTTGGTGATATTGCAAAGTCCTTATTGCCAAAGATGCAACTGATGTTTGACATCTTATCAAAAGTTGGTTTGAATCCCATACAATCAGATTCCGGAGTATATATCATTACGAACACGTCGAACCTAGGTAAGGCGTAGCAAGCGATATAGTTGAGCAATCCGACTTTCATACTTATGTACATTACTGTACCTGAAGCTTTTAGATCAATCGATTGATTATAGCAAATACAAGGATTTTGTGGGATGGTTGGCCGAAAATGTACATATTCAAGCTGTACCACTACAGATGTTTTATAAGGATGGTACATGTTTTAAACATTTTGTGCGATTTTGTTTCAATAGAGTAAGTAAAGGTAACATTTAAGGACGAGATTTTTACTGTATTTTTTTAGAAGGAAGACACCTTAACATTGGCAAGAGATCTGTTAGAAAAAAAATTTAAACTTAAAACTAAATAAATTCGTAGTGCTTGCTTACGCGTACGTAATGTTAAATATGAATATTCTATGTAGCGATAATAATGAAATATTACCCAAAAATTCTACGTTAGTTTTTCATAGTATCTTGTTTACCCGGTAAGTAGTATCAAAGAAAATCTATCGTCCAGGGCATCGTTAATTAATACTGATGCTGGACGCAGGCTGCTAATGTATAGAAGTAGAAGAAAAATGTGTTATTATGAGCGAGATAATCATAGATGTAGATGCATGGCCGAGTGTTATAAATTTTGATCAAAGGCGTAGCAATTATGACTGCTAGGTAGATTTTGATATAAAGAAAATTCACTCAAGTGGGTAAGATTATTTTCTTAAAAAATAAACGTTTCTAATTAAAAGAATTAGAACATTTCAAAAAATGGTAGGTACCTACATCATGTAGGTACCTACCAACAACCTTCTAAACATTCACACCAAATTTTATTCCCAAAACTTTTGCAAATGCTATAGTAGCCGAATTTGTTTTCTCCATATTGAAAGGGCGCACAGCCATTTGATCGGATCGTGTAGCCCAACATGTCGCATGGCAAACCCTAAAACATGGTCACTATATTGTGGAAGGAATTTTCTTAATTAAACCCGAAAAAAGTTAAATCAGAATTAAACCACAAAGTGTTATACATCATTGAATTCAGAATAAAAGGGCTTTATGAATAATATGATATCGAGATATTAGGGCTGTATTTAAAAAAATGAAGTTGATGATGGTTCCGGAAAGACGAAAGATCGGATTAAAAAGTCATCTTAAAAAGCATTAAAAGTTGGTATGGAGAAGTATCATTGGTTTATCTCTAGGTCAAATATTAACGCAAGAAAAAATTAGTACTTAAAATCGAAAATTTTCGATAAAGTCACTAAATATAGAAAGTACCGCAATCCATTGGTCTCGTGTGTTAGAGAAAGAACGCATGATTTTTGCCCAAAAATGGCAGAAGTTACCAGATTCTAGTAAGTTTAATGTTAGGGATTGTTCCACCTGTTTGAAGATATCTGACAAGTATCTGAAATTTGAATTTTCTTTTCCTAATAAATCAAATATACCTATAGGTGGTTGTGTTTCAGGTTGTAAAAAAAGTAATGTGAAACGTGCGAGGTTGTTTCCTTTAGCAAGTGGTGAAAGAAATGCGAAAAGGAAACAATTATGGTTTGACTTCAATATCGTTCCCGAACACACGCTCTATTTTGGAACATACATACCCGCTGCGGACTCGCAGACGGTCCACAGTAGGTAGTTTAATACATACATATGAAAGTAAAAACTAACAAACATTTATTGAAGAAATGTTGTTTATTTGCTACATTATACAAAAAGTACAGTAAGCACAACATCCTCGTACAGCGACTCGCGTTTTGATTTTGTACAGGGACTCCTTACCTATCTTGTAACGCACCCTGTGGACTCGGAGTCCACAAATTACAATAAAAAATTGCACAAGTACACCACTCTGCAAATATGTTCATACTAAGCCTCGGTGTCTTGAAACAAACAGCTATTGCACCAGGTAACCCCGTCCCCTTCACGTTAGGAAAATATCCATATAAAAAACACATTGCGGAGTATGACGAAATATTATTATTGATCGATTGATATAAGTGCCCTTTGGTATATATTTTTATAAAACATGACAGTACTATGAAGTTAGGTTATAAAAAAATTACAGCTATTCAGATTTTATTTGTCAATTTTTTTAAGTTGGCAGCAAAATTGCCCAAAAATGGCGGATGATTGCGGTACTTTCTATATTTAGTTAAAGTCACTAGATATTTATTATATTTTATATATTTATTGGCTTTAATTTTCGAAATATGTGCACGACCTCTAATGGCGAAAATAAAAACTAAAGTAATAATAAATCTACTACAGGAATAACTTTTAATAACTCTTTAGAATTATGCTTCGATTCTTTATCAATTATACACATGGCTTTGTTCCTGTAGCAGTAGTTCTAGGTACTATTTATGGTACAAAATATCAATTCATTTAATTACAAACGAAATCGATTCTTACTCATTAAATAGGGGGCTGTTACCCATGGTCTTTCAACGAAGCGCTCCACTTCCAAGATATACTACGGGTAGACTGATAAACCTAGGTCTAGATGCTACTTACCTTGTTCTCTGAGGGGGAATGTATTCGATCCTTTCCATTATCTCTATGGAAGATGTAATTTGTGTTCTCCAACTTAGATGCTTTCGTATTCGTTATTGAACGGATAGTATGACATTCATTCTTTTATTGCAATTGAAAACATGAATTACACTTAAAATTATAAAATAAGAACGTACAAGTGTTTTTTAAAATTGAACATCAATACTATTTTACTTATCAAGTCATTCAGTAGAAATCGCATTTATGTGTACAAGTATGATTAGTTGCCTATTCCTATTCTGCATTTACGCTATATAAATTATTGAAACAAAAAACAAATCAAAAGACTTTTAATCTCAATACATAAGACAGGATGCCTTATATGAACACTTTGTACCCTTTCTTCTTGCCAAAAAATTTACCATACATAAATAACGGTGTCAACTGAAATCGCCCCTTAACCATCTCTTGGCATCTCTTGTGTCATTTCCATATGTTTTACCAAACCTTAGGTAAAATAGAGCAAGCTTTAATTATTGGGATGTATGTAAAAAACAGCATATACTACCTAAACACAGCTCCCGGTATATGTCCCGCATAATTTGGCAGTTGGCCAATGTGCCGATGATAAATTTCTGATGGTTGAATGAGTAAAGGTGGATCTGGTCGACTTATGGAAACTGGCGCCCATTCGGTACTCAGTCTCTTCCTGTAATTTGTTGTAAAATCGCATAGAGCACTATTCGTCATTGCTTGATTTGGTTGGCCAAATGAGGCGTATCCGAATGGAACTGGCCCGGAGAAACCTACAAATAAAAATCTCAAGAACGCTGTCCAGTTTCAATCTTCTCCCACAATATTTTTGCTGTTGCGCAAAGGAGTTATACACTCTCTCGCTCATGTTGCAGCGAAAGTTTTAAATAAGCTTATTGTTTAAAATGGCATAAAATGATGACATTAATTTAGTTTGAGACAAAGCCACCTTTATGACATTATTTTGGGTAAAATGAATCTGTAGGAAGGTTGATCCCGGGTTGATTCCCAGTGATACTGACGTTTCGATGATTAATTTGCATTTGCATTTCTGGGCTCTATCTTATACCGAATGTAAAATATTGAAAACATAATTGATTCATAGGGCATTTTCATATTTTAAAAATGGCAGCTCTCGAAACCACCATCGTCACAACCTCTGTGTTTTTTGTTTTGTTTTTTCGATAAATGTGCAGTCAATCGCGAGGAAGCATAGTTTAATAGGTCGCCATAGCACTTTCGAAAAACGCACTTCTATACTCTATTGGGTCCAACGGATGAATTATTTATAGAAACTGCAGAGTAAGGCTTTGGGGTGGGCGCTTCTGGGATACAAACTGGAAAAAAAGGGTCGCCTTTCAGCAAGGTTCCCGGAAGAGTCCCAAAGTAGAGGCGAAACGCACGCCGCGCCACCGTCGGAAATTTTTCAAAGCCCGTAGCATAGAACCAGAGGAAAGAAAAACTTAAAGTTATACATACGCTCGAGTAGTCACGTCCATATAACGTAAAACTGCAACGGTACGGAAATCGCGAGACATGAATTCAGCGAACGGGAAGAGAACAAAGAAACAACAATAGTGCCAAGATTGTTCTTTTAGAGGTGTAAACAGAAAAAGGATTTAGAGAGGTGGCCGATTATAAATAGATAGAAACCTGCGTTGCGAGATGGGGAAGTTATGAGGGATATATTTCAAATGCACATTCTTTTAGCAAAACTCACAAACCGCATTAAGTGGTCACAAATTGATCCTTCGCGCCATATCAAAATGTTCACACACACCCACACCCACACTTAAGTGTAGAAAGTTCACCTTTTACTAAATACTTATCCGGATCCGAGTTGTCCATGAAATATGGGCTACTGGAATGATCGGGCGGTTTGAGAGGTGGTTCTTCCACTGGTAAATTTCTTACGATGCCTGCGCATTCTGGTCTAACTTGCAGCAGAGGTAGCTTGAACTCGCTGGTTGCCAACTACATTAGTAATAGGATAATTTGTAATTAGCGTAAACTTCTTTTGCAACCTCTCGATCTTGCAGACTTCTAGGATTCCACTTATCGTCTTGTATCAGCCCCTGTTTTATTAATTGATGTAGAGCTGCTGCATCTTTATTTTGCATTTGCTGAAATTGCGACAAGGCTTCCGTTGCCTGGACGGTATATCTTTGGCCCATCATTCCATTAATTCGAGGAACGAACCCTGTATGTTACTCATTAATTGTTAAAGGTATGGACGGATTTACCTTCGTATCCTGGAATGGTAGGATGTTTATAAATAGGATCACCTTGCAGCGACCTTGCATTTACTATGTCGATGTCTCGTTGGGGCGGTCTCAAGACCTGCAATATTAAGGCTGAGAAAGTGTTCTGCGTAAATTATCGATTGCTTACTTGATAGTCATCTACGGTTCTATCGGAGAGAATTAGCTTTTCGGCATGGCTAACTGTGGGATCCAAGAGCAATTTGTGGGTCGTTGTACCGTAAGAATCGCCAATTCTGTATTTGTACTGAGGACAAAATCCTGTGTAGCTGTAAAAACAATAAATTTATTTCTCAGTTTTCAAAAATTGAGTAATAACCCCGGAATAAAATGAGGATTAGGCGTTGATACTAATTCCACCGACATTTTAGTTGTAATTTAGATAAATCCAAAACTTATAACCACTTTAATTTTGTGTCATTTGACAATACAAATGTCTCAATGCGCTTTCAACAAATACGGGTAATTTGATTTTCAATAATACCTAAGCATCTAATTCTGAAACTTAGACCATATAGTACAAATACCGCAAGAACTAATCATTTTATACCTACTATTATATCACTGCTTCGAAAGTATTGAATACATGCTTAAGCTTATCTTCGACCATATAACCCTGAACTTCCAGCGGTTTTAACGGATTACATTTGCGTAAGATTTTTGAACTGACCACTTAAATGTTTGAAAAGTTTATGCTATTTTTCTACGGTGTTGCGCTAAAATTTGAATAAATTTTCTAAAAGTTAGAAAATGTTGATGTACCAACTTGCAATATTATACCATTATGGTAGTAAGTAGGGTAGTATGGATAATGGATTTAAACGTACAACCGCGTTATTTGGAGAAGGAGTGAGAATTTCATTCATGTGAAAGTTTGTTTATTGCGAACAACAGGTTTTATAAAAAATTCGAGAAGCGGTCCTTCCTCATTCCGATGTAAAAGGCGGTCGATACGAAAATTTATCATCATTATTAGAATTATATGAACTCATCGGGTGGATACATTATTTAATTTTGCCATTGTTGAAATTGACGAAGTAAGATTCTAAATTTCGCACACTGCATCCAGAATCCTGGTGTCAGAGCGTGTACTTTTCTTTATTACACTGGTTCCGTGTCCTGAAACTAAAGCACTCTATAACGTTCTTATTCTCGATGTTCTTATGGAGATACATTTTAATGAATCTTCGAGCAGTTCTGCGCGCACAACTGATTTTCAGATCCATACAAAAAGATTATTTCAGTCAACAAAGGCAAAGCATCAAAACGTAAAATGTATAAAACTCAGTTATTTTTATGTATTTTGTTTTTTTACGGGCTATACCCGATGGAGGTGGTATACTAATTTTGAATAAGAGAGTATGGTAGCTTGGGGGCGGGAGTAAATGCTAAAACTAAGGTAAACCGTAAACTTTCCTTTAAACTTCCGCCTAGCTATCTAAATATACGTGTTTTTGCAATTTTTCATGTCTTATCAAAATTACAAATTACAATTGACGCCGACCGATGGTTAAACTGAAACCCCTATATAGTAAATGATAAATAGTTCGTTACGAAATGACCCAAACAGTACTCCAATCAAGTTTCTTTATATAAGACGGGGTACCCCAAAATAGGTACTATATCTGTAGTTGTTAATTTCGGTTGGCATTATTTGTCCCTATAACGCAATTGTATATCTAGGTAGGTAATTTAACTGATAAAGCAAATCAAAGCCTTCTATCTTTTTTCTCCATGACATTTGCCATTAAAAATTGGTTACCTCATATAAAAAGGTACTTACAAATAAAGTGAAAGATTCATTTGATATAATGTAAATTATAGAAATGAATTGACGATTTAATATTAATTGTTAGCCCATAACCATGTTTACTGTTTAGCTATGTAAATAAATACATAGAGAAAACGAAAGTGTTGCCGTTGTGTACCACCATAAAATGTCATTTTGCGTTATAACAGGAAGACACGATAATTATTTTTCCGTATACTGCAATAAATTAATTAAATGATTCATGCTCAAGAAAGGCACAACGATTTCATAATAAGGCAAAAGTTTCACAATTAAGTATTATCCATTCATCGCACTACTTACCCGTACAAATATAATGCTCACTGGTGATGTAATTATTAATACGCATTTCTAATAATAGTATTTAATTATTTATTAGAATTATATGTTTACAGTTTAGGTAGGTATGCATAGATTGTGACATCATGTTTCATTTTCTATGCAACTAGATTATGATTATGATGATTATGCTATAGGTATATTTTTGAACGTGAGTTTACGTAAGAGAGGACACGACAGGATCTTTTTAGAATACGCCACATTTGTGGATTACGATTATTGTTCTTGTAACTTGTTCCTATTGCCCAAACTAGCGGTTGATTCAACATTATTAACGATCTTCGAGATCGTTCGTAACTTTGTACTGCTTTCTGTCTGTCCGTGTGCAGGATAATTTTATTTAGAGACATCCGATTGCTTTGAATCGGTAAAGGATATAGGAAAGATCCCAATTGTTTTTCAGGTACGGCTACTATATATCGGACCAAAAAGTTACAGCCCATAATCTGCGCAAACTCCCAGAAAAGGGTTTCTTTTGTCATTCTTGTTACAAAGAACATATGAATGTGCGGTTTTCTGTTAGTAAATTCTTTAAACCCAACGTTTGTATTTGCGCAATCCATTTTTTTTTAATTTGAAGATACTTCAATGAAATTTTGTATGTAGGCATCTCGAGTAAAAGTAAAACTAATGCCGATATGTAGGTTAGGTAGGTGTAGTGTAGTGCCTATTTTACAAGCTATGCTGATCTGGTAAGACAAAATCAACCCTTTAAGGTGTGTTGTAAAAATGATGGATGCGTGAAGATCTCAAGGATTGTTCGCTATTCAATTGTATCGGATTTTTACTATTCGGGTCTGTACCTCCGCCCGGTGTTTTCTATTCTCCTTGCCCCTAAACGATTAATAGCTCAACCTCGACATGGAGGCCGTTGAAAAAATCAATCTTGGTATTCAGCTCGTATCGCAAATTCTTTGAACAGTTCTGTCTAAAAAGAGGAAGTATCGGACATCCGGATAGATTGGTTAGACGCCGAAGTAATGTATTTAATTTTTTCCCCGTAAAAATTGCTATACTAACTCTGTAACTAACAATTCTGGCATCTTCTGTACGCAACCTATGAGGTCGGTTGCTTGCAGGTGTCAGTACTGGTATGGCATGCCAAGTTTGCGCTCCGGCACAACTATCTGTGGCTCCGGTAAATCGGGAACGTCCAAGCGAACAACTGATGGATGTACAAAAATCGACCAATCTCAATACAGTATATCTGGATATCCAAATTTATAAGGACCGGAAAAATTATTTTAAAATAATCTATTGCACATTTTTTCCGCCTCAAAGGAGGAGATAAAAAAAAGAACTCAACGTTGATATCTCGCTCAGGAGACGGATACTTTGCGTGTAGAGCTTAAAAAATTTACATACATAAACTAAAGTAAAATAAAATCGAGGTTTATAGAACAAGAAAACTTCAAAGAGTTGAAACTGACAAATGTTTACTTAAAGATGAAAACGATTATTTGTTCAATGTATGATGATCGTGGTCTATTAATTGATCAAAATTGCAACCTACACCAAACAATTATTAAGGAATAATAAAGTTATTATAATTACGTTTTACATTTTCCAGTAAGTAGTTGTTACAAAAGAAATAAAAGTTCTAGATATATTTATTTTATTTTATATATTCGTGAGTATTATGGTACATTAACGGCGCCTCATAGAGGAGGTGGGCGGTGGTATAAATTAATGCCTTTCGTTGAGATTCATCAAGGATAAAACCTTCATTTCTTTACCTTGAGCTTCTTCACTTCAAATATTACCTGTATGATGTCGATATCAGATTTCAATTCATTTAGTACCAAATCTATTTTCACTCGAGACTCAAATCAATTCATAGTAAGCCTTTGTGAATTTTATCCCTTCTTTTCTCCAGAGGTTTCCAGTTTTTCTTTGCAAAGCGCTAGAAGGACCTGGAAAGCTTTGATGATGAAGAGTGCAAAACGTATAGAACTTCTGAAGTAATGTGTAAAGCTCTGGAAAAACTCTAGGAGACATTTAAAAGGGCCCTTTGTCACTTCTTATAACCTCTTTAGTACCTTTTCGGGACGCCTTCGATCCTTTTTCCAAAACCATCTTAACATTTACCACACATATGTGCAAGACCAGAAAGTGCCAAAACGTTGTAAAGAGTCTAGAAAGCTCTGACATGGCCTAAAAAGCCATGGAAAGTGCTTACATTGGTCCAGTAAGGACCCAAAAATACAGAAAGCGCCTCTTAAGTGTTCCTGAGACTCTTGTTAGAACATGTTCCTTCCATTACCAGACAAGCTCTAAAAGTTAAATGCTCTTAGAAAGGGATCTATCTATTTTTATTGTATGCTACTGTTATGTCATAACCATCCAAATAGTTAATAGTATATTAAGATACAAGTGTATAATCAAGTCTTTAAAGCACGCGCAATGAGTTTAAGGGCACGACGCAAAGCGGAGTGCCTTTAACGTTGCAAGTGCTTTAAAGACCAATTATACACGTGTATCTTATAGTATTTTTTATTATACCTGCAGTATAATTTAAAAATAGGAAATACAATGAAATCATATTGACGTTATACTCGGATACATGTTTAATTAAGTGGGCTGGGTGTTCGAAATTCCACGATTGCCATGGAAATGTCACTTGACGTTTGCTTATAAAAATCATCGTCTTTGTAAATAAAACGATTTCCGTTGAAAAAGATAATACACCGTCCATTAAATCGCTTGTTATAAAATCTAAACAAACGTTGGTAGGTGTAAAATCCAAATCCAGCAAAGACTATTATAAAGAATTTGAAAAATTGTTTCCATGGATGAAAAGGAAGTTACTTACGAATAAAGTCTTAAATGCATCGATAATGCTGGGATATATGAAGGAAATGTCAAAGGTATTTAAATCTCCTATCTTTTGGTGCATGCATTAACTCAAAACTTCAAACAATGCTGCGATTAAAAGTGGAACAGATTTGGAAGCACACCCTAAATTACGCGCGTTTGTGAAACCTTCAACCAAAGGATAGGTACAAGCCAAAGAAATGTTATGCATTTACAGAAAGCGACCTAAGAGGATCTTTTATTTCAGCCCCAGATGACAGTTTCAAAAGTCATACTTGAAGTATCGTTACTTAGCAACTTTAAAGCACGTGTGTTTTAAAGGCCCTTTTTCGCACGCATTTGAGTGTTTAAAACGGAGATTGTGATTCAGGTATAATAAAAAATATATTACAAAATTATACGATTGCAATGCTTTGTAAAGGACCTAGAAAGCTCCAAGCGCCTATGTATCAAATTTCATTTAAATGCTTCCATAAATAAAAAAAGTTGGCACTGTGCATGCGGAAAACCAAATTTTGAAACGAGTTTGTTTCCTTTATAGCCCAGTCAAATGGTGATTTTTCCA